TTTATCTATGACCTTAGAAATCTCGAGAGGATAATATATGATAACTAATATACTTCAGAAACGTCTGATAAGAAATTTAATTATCTCACGTAAGTGTTTTCGTCAAAAATTAGTTCAAAAATTACCATGCCGTAGTATCGACGGTCTCTGTGATACATTTTCTATACATGTACATACCTACATACATGTGAACATGCACTTAAAGATAAGAAAAAATATTTTTCTAAAGAAAACATATTGTAATCAATTTATCAGTTGATATCTAGTAAATGCATGTAATTTAGAAGCAATATTATACTTGAACAGTTCATAATGGCAGTCAGTGCTAGTTTATAAGTTCGCACTTGAATCTTCGCTGAAGAACACTTTACGAAAAATGGTGAGTTAGTTTTACTACAAAGCAAAAATTTTTGTTTCATTTTGTCGTAAGCGCTTAGATCATAATTATGTAATTTAAAATCAGTGGAGTAGTGTTAACCTGTTTAAACACAAATACCAACGGCTATTTTTTCACACTAGTTAGACGAATTAAGTGTAAGACATAACAAGTTTGGCCGATTTTGCTAAAAATAGAAGAAGTAGAGTGTTTTAGTTGGAGTAATTAACGCTAAAAGGAGTTTTATGATATTTATGCTAGAATGTTGGCACATATAGCATCCATTTATAAAATTCCAAAAATTTCAATTTCATTTCACAAAACGTTTGAATTAATTAGCAGTCACTTTAGCACGCAACAGTTAGCATTAGATTTTCCCATTGTGATGTGAATAATGAAAAATTTTATTTCCGACGGGTTTAATTACATCGTTCTGGTAATTGACTCATCGCCAAGAGAAAAACAAAAGTATTTAAAGTGTCAAAATTATCCCAAAACGGAACCATCGATAGTACTCGTACTTTTCCTTTGACCGAAAGCGTACATTGGTCTCGTAACCTTAAAACTTAAATACAACTGCTTTATATTTAAGCTCGAGACTTGCTGATTTTATTATTATCGTTTGAATTTACATTTTAGCATTCAATAACGTTTCGAGTGACACGGTTTTACATGAAGCAAGGATCAAAATTTAATTGATAACGTGACGTCTATAAAATTATAATTTATGGACTATTTTCAACCACCGCAATATTTGCGAACGACATGAAATACACAAGCTTACCCAACTTAAACAAAATGTTATAAATAACTTGTTTTCCTCTCAAATAGGCCCAGCACGTTTTACTTTCTTTTCATTAATTAATCTGCAGAATCAAAATTACATAGTAATGTTTTTAGAAGCTGGGCTTGAAAACAAATGTAAACCGTAAAACGCGGGAGCGACAAGGACAATTTCGTTTAATTAACTAATTTTAGTTTTCAGAAACCTAACGATTCGCTGAATTAAAAAGTACATTCGCAGATAAATTATCTTATTACGTAAATAGACTTTGTTGTAACCAACTAGACTTGTTTATTGCCGACAAAAATTAATAGAAAAAAAAATGTATTGACACATTACAATGCAAAATATTCATTTTGCAAATAGACGCTACAGTATGTGTAACTAAGGATTAAATATCCGGCCTTGAAATGATTAGCGGACACTTCATTTACTTATTTCAGAGCAACTTAGTCTGCTGAAAGTGAAAAATTCGCGTAAAATAATTCAGCATTCAGTCACATTCACTTTCTAGTACAAGTTTAGCATAGGAAATTTGCAGAAGCCTTGGCCTGTTTATTTCAATGTCCTCCCACTTCATTTATTAGATCGGTTTCAGCGATTACTGACAGATGATACATAAAAAATAAAAGGTTTTATTTTACCATTTATTTCTTGTAATTGCTGTTGTAATGTCGGTAAAAATGAATGTGAAGGGTTGGAGCGGCATAAAATGGCCACTAATGATAATTAAAAGAAATTATTTTTAATCACAAGGATAATATAAATATCAACATGTTCAAAGAAAAAACCAAAGTATATTATTAAATCGAATGATTTAGCAATATGAAATAGAAAAACGGGAGTAGTTTTTATTTTTATTTTAAGACAATTTATTATATCTTATGCATATGTATTATATTTTTTCGTGATTTCTTATTGCCACTAGTTCTGCCCACGTAAACACTTTTGGAGTAAAAGTAAAAAACATGTTTAAACAAAAACACTAATTAAAGGCAATGAGTGTAAAAAAAATCATTGGATTTTTTTTACACTCCTAAAATAATATTAAATTGTTTAAAATATTGGCATGGATCCATCAAAAACCTGACTTTCTTCTCATGGCCAACTGTTTTTATTAAACGGTATGGTGTGTAAAACGTGCAGGAAATACGGTTGAACATTTTGGTTGACAACACGTAGTATTTTACAATGAGTCATTGAAAAATACTTAAATAGAGGGGTAGTACACTGTATTGACCCTTCAATTTTACCCCAATGCTTCAGAATATGTATGCAAAAGGCTTCCTATATGGAAAAAGAAAGAACAAAGCTAACTTTTTCATAAAGTCGTTTATTCACAAAGCACTCGTATGAAATACGAGTTATAAATAATTTTATTTGATGCGTAAGAGCAAATATATAAATTAGTTATTTAGTTCTAATTTTATTTATTGTCAGCGTATTTTTTTGAATGAAGCAGTTGTTTCTTGGTAATGAGCTTTACAGAACCTTGAAAAACAAAGATGTTATTCTATATTGCTATGATTGTAAAACTGAAAATAAATAAGAGTTTATAATTAAAATTAAATTGAAAAGAGCTTTTTGTGACTAAACTTTATATTTTTTTGTGAAAGCTACTAGTTTACTTCTTTTTTTTTAATGTTTAAAATACTTACTGCAACTTAAAAACATTTGAATAGTGATGAAGTTTTTTTATTAATTTTTCATAGCACCAGAAACAAGTATTTCGAAAAGTAGTCAGTCCTATAGGAAAAATGAGGAAGTGTCTCTATAAATGTGAAATATCGTCGGTTACAGATACCTTTATTAATCGGGCATATTCAGAGCGTAAACAAATAAAAATATCAAATCCAGGTGTATTGGCAAAAAATCGATAGTAAACAGATTCGTTCCGCAACCTTGGGCCCATCCATCCATAATTGAATTTAAAATTGGCCTACTCTACAAGAACAAAGAAAATAGGTGTGTTGTGTGTGTGTTTGGATAAATACAAGTGATATAACACACGAATGTGGTTGATATAACAATATTCCAGGGAAATCACGTGATACGAACATGTGCTCTATCTAAAATCCTCTTCTGAAAACGTCCATAAAATTATTAACAGCCATAACCTGTTTATCATAGATGTTTTTCCGGAGTTGAGTAAAATCTAGCATCGGTTTTAATTTTCTTAGATTAGACTAGAATTGAGATGTAAATATTTTGGAACAGGAAATTGTTATATTTACGAACGTAGAAATAACACACGTGGATCAGAGTCGAAAAAATTCCATTGATCCAGAGTTGTTGTCACCGAATATTTGGAGACATTTAAATTTCTGCTTTCGAATAATTTGCGGTTCTTATCAACCGAATTAGTAAAGGAACATTTCGCCAAACGCACAAATATATATCACAAATATTCACATCTAATTTAATTAGAATGATATAATATACAATAGCGCACTACCGTGTCGCTTGTTATTTACTTTTCGTGAAAAACTGCAATGTTCTTGCACTTGGTTCATTCAACCACGAAGCTAGCCATTTGGCACGTCTTATAATTGACTCAAATAAAATTCGTTTTCTATATTAAACGGAATTAACATGTTTGTTAAAATAATTCAATTGATATTGTCCTTGGTTAAGCACGCGGAATTTGAATACTGTTTTGACACCAACTTGTGCGAAATTTTCCATCCTCGTGTCGTTGGCAACGTTTTCACGGATCCGATACAGGGTTTTACACACCTCTATTTGTTTACTTTATCGGTTGTCGGGTAGTAAAAACTAGTTGTTTTGGACCCTTAGTAAAAATTCATTATTTAACCCCTGTAATTATAAAATGATGCTATGTGGCAGGTATATGAGAACAGGTCTAACAAGTAAACAACAAATAAACAAGTGACTAAATGGTTTCAAAATTGCGAGTCAAGCCAAAGAGGATTATAACGAACAAATTTTAACAGGAAAACTCGTGATTCACATTTGCGTTGTTTGTTTCCTGAATTAGCAGCTAATGAAGCTTTAATGGAGAAAGGAATCTTAACATTGTTTAAATTTGCCTTTCATGATGAACTTTTGACATGACCATTAAACATTTTCTAATCCACATAAGTAACCACGACTTAAATGCGGACTATATGAAACAAGGTTGCAAATAAATGAATAGTAAATTGTGAAATTAGTTATGAAGTCAGAAGACTAACTAATAAGCAATTATAATTAGACTCAGAGTGTAAAGTTTACCAACATACACAAGCAACTGATTTTTTGTGATAAAATTTTGAAATACAGGTCACATTTTTAAACCGATTAAATTTTCGTAACTAGTTACCCAAAAAAACATTTTTGCAAGCAGTGATGATGAAAAATATTTCGGTAATTCAGAAGCAAATCACTAATATTTAAATAAATATTTTGCGCAGGTCTAAAGTTAGTCAAGATATTTAAAATTTTGCGAATTTTGTTTTATAGCTTTCCATAAATTTAAAAACTAAAATTACACTGGTCGTGTAATATAATTATATTGCTGTTTTTTACATTTTTCGGGAAAGATAAATTAGTCAACATTTTGTCATCTTTTAAAAATCATCTTAATTCCAACAAAAACATTTGAGGGACCAAAAAACCAAAGACAAAATTGTTCACATTGAATAAGTTATTTTTAATCTAAACATTGGACTAAATCATAAAAGAGGGTGGAAATCCGGTCGGAAAATATGTATAAATATTAGTTCTTTGCTTGCGTAAGAGTAAAATAGTAAAAAAAATTCGAAAAAGTGTTTTATTTTTTCTTTGAGTTTATCATAAACCAAGAGATAAAATTACTACATTTAATTTTTTTATTTGCAGACTGACAGTGAGGTGGCATGTGAAGAAGCGGCCCGTTTGACTGCCGAGCAGCAGGAAGAAGACGATGATGGTATCTCCTACTGCGACTACCACGACTTGCCTCCGCCGCCCGATGGAGGCTATGGGTGGGTCGTGGTTTTCGCCTCGTTCATGTGCAACATGCTAGTAGACGGAATAGGTTACACTTTCGGCATATTCCTTCCAAAATTGGTCGATTATTACGGCGAAACAAAAGGAACAACGGCATGGGTCGGTTCATTACTCTCAGGAATGTACCTTAGTGTAGGTCCTGTAGTGAGCGCCCTTACCAACAAATTCGGCTGTCGTGCTGTGTGTATCGCGGGTAGTTTAATATCAACCGCGGCGTTCGTCCTGTCGCAATTCTGTCCAACTGTAAACTGGTTGATGTTGATATATGGGTTCGTCGGTGGTGTAGGTTTCGGTTTAATTTATTTACCGGCGGTGGTGTGCGTGGGTTACTATTTTGAAACGAAGAGATCTCTCGCGACGGGTATTGCAGTATGTGGTTCGGGGGTTGGTACCTTCGCGTTTGCCCCTTTGGCCACGATCCTACTCGACGAGTACGGCTGGAGAGGAGCCAATCTCATTCTAGCAGGAATGATCTTCAATTGCGTGCTATTCGGAGCTTTAATGCGGCCTTTGACGTACCCCAAAGAGTCCAATTCTCAGCCACTCCTCCAGCGCATGGCCGAAGAAAGAAGAATCCAGATGGAAAGGGGTAGCATCGGAGGATCGTACTTCATGGTACAACTGCCAGATGGTACTATGGAGAAACGTATGAAACAACCGCTCAACATCGATCCCGGAGTGCATTCTAGTCTCAACCTGGACCAACTAGCGCCAGGAACACCCATCACACCCATACCCACAGTCCCCACGCTACCCACCATTGCCGAAGTTAAAGTACAAGACCAGAGTGGAAGCTCCGGATCGCCAAGTCCGGGAGAAAGCTCTGCGGAAATTAGACCTACAGCCAAGAATCCGCGTTTAAGTGAATTAAAATTGCAAGACGGAAAAGTGAAACCGGAAACAGGGGTTAGTAAGGAAGCACCAGCGGCTCCGGTTGGGACGATACCGGATAATTCGTCCTCAAAGATGCCAAGAAATGCGAGTCAGCCGGCGTTTAGCACGCATGTTCAAGGGTTGCCTAAAAACGGATCGGTACCCACTTTTGATAGGATTAGAAAAACTTCAGTAGGAGAAAAATTCAAGCCGACTTTAGGACCGATCAAAGCTTCGTCCAGAGCCACTTTGAGTTCGAATAGTGATATGAGGAAGTTGAGGAATAATTCGACTTCTTCGTTTCTTAGTAGAAATAATAATAGCGAGGTGAGTATCGAATTACTCGACGTTACTTTTTAAGGAAAGTCATTAAATAAAAGTTTCAAGAAGAAAATTCGATATCTATTAACAGTTTTATTAAATTTCTTATGCAATCATTTGTTACGTATAAATATCAATGATCTTATTTTAAGTACTTAATTGAAGATAAAAGTTTAGGTAAGTACTATTATTTGTAACTAAAATACTGGAATGATTTGTATAACTGAACTGCGTAATAATAGTTGCATAATTTTTATTGTTATCGCATTTATGCCGTAACCATTTCTATAAGTACTTTTGCTCGAAGCGTTTGCTTTAAACATTATTATAAATTACGCAACAATTGTAGATAAAAAAACACTTACAAATAGAGAAAATATGAAAAAAATTAAAACCACAAACTCAAAATTGGTGTACAAAAGATTTCCCATCAAGTTACTTCTAGCCCTCTTGATGGCAAATCATAATTGTATAAAAATAGGGAATTTCAAAACTTATCAGTATAAATTAATTTTTAGCGTTGAATAAGAACTATTTAGAAATTGAAAGAAATTTAAACTCATTTGTTTAACCGATTATTAGTTACCTACCAAAAAGCAAAACAATGTATCTGCTTAATTTAACATGTGTTTGGATCAAAATTAAAACCTATGAATGCTTTGTTGTGTTTTCAAATACGAAAATACTTGAAAAATTAAAAAAGGAATAAAATGATAGATGTGATGGAAACAAAGTTTGCATTCATTTTTGCTTAAAGATTTTACGACTCAAGAAACAGTTTTGCACTTCTTACAAAAAAAAAAAAAATTACACGCAATTCTTTTTGTTTGCATAATATTGGATATCAATAAAGTTTTAGTTTTAAATTTTTGCTTCTTTTTTAAGAAATGTCTAAATCACAATACGAGTATAATACTCGTACGTGAAATACAAAAAAATTATTTGTCTACATTTCTTTTATCAACTTTTATTGTTTTTGGACTTTAATTTGTTGTTTTAAGATGTCATCAAGGCAGTAAAATTTTTACAATATGTCACTATCATTAGATTAACAAAAACATGAGAAGACCTAATTTAGCAAAACTAAAAATTATCATTTCAAGTATTTAACTAATTGGCACATGTTTGGTCTAATCGATAAGTCAAAGCGAAAACTTTCTCAGAAAATTATAAAATCGTTTTATTTAAAAATGATGGTTACCTTCATTACCAACGAACAAAGTGGCAATTTAAATTAAACGAGTTACGTGGGTATATTAGAGACACATTTATTAAACATAAAGAAATATCGCTTTTAAATCATTTTTGTACCGCTAAATGCGTTACCATTGTTTACTAATAAGAAGTTTGCGTCATTGTACCTATTACTGATTAGCTTCTATTTTAGAAAGAAAACTTAAAAGTGTAAATGTATATGTTTTCACATTAAAATAATAACAATTAGGAAATTTATTAGTAGAACAATGTAAATATATTTAGTTAGCGAGCTTTCAGCACAAACAAGAATTTATTAATTGTGGATTTACTTGTCAGTTTTTCTATTTTATATCTATTTTATATTTACGCAGTTTTCGCTAAAACATTATTTTTGGCGTCGAATTATGTCGCTAATGACAGGAACCATTGGGTGGGTGTACCTAAAAACACCTGGTAATGCATTGTAATGTAAATTCAGGAATAGCACAAGTTTCACAATTTGGAGCTTTTCCAAATGCATCTTTCGAATATTTGTTCTTGAATTATCTGAAGGCTTATCAAAACGGGTATATAATATCTTTGCAGGTGGACGTTGAAAGTCTAGCATGCACATCAAAACTGTCGTTACCAAGAGGAGGAAGTCGTTCGAATATGGTCAGACCAATGTCAAGGAAGGACATCTTCTACTCGGGATCTATTGTTAATCTTCCAGAGTTTCACCAATCGCAAAAATCTCTCACGAATTACAGGCAAAGCATCATGAGCATTCCGAAAGCCAAAGGACTGGAATCTGAGGGATCTCGTGAGTGATCACTAAGTATTTTTCATAAATAAATTTCTCCTTGTAGCTGGTGATCTTTGCCCTTGCCTCGTACTGCCTGAAAGTTTCACCTCAGCCTTAGGACAAATGATGGATATGAGCTTATTGAAGGATCCTGTTTTTGTACTTATAGGAATATCGAATTTATTCGGGATGGCTGGACTGTATATCCCGTTCGTTTATCTTGTTGACTGTGCCGTTGAAGATGTAAATTTTAATGGTAGCTATTAGGGCAAAAATTCATGTTTGCATTTCTAGGGTATCGAAAAAGGAAAAGCTTCATTCTTGGTCTCCATCATTGGTATTACTAATACGTTTGGCCGTGTCGCCTGTGGATATTTCGCTGACTTCCCATCTGTTAATGCCCTACTTGTAAATAATATTTGTCTAGTTATTTCCGCCGTCTCGGTTGCTCTAACACCATTCTGCCACTCATACGGTGCTTATATAGCAATGGCCGTGTTTTTCGGAATCGCGATTTGTAAGTATCAATTACACAGGGCGACAAAAAAAAGTCAAATTTTATATCATTTTGTTCGTCTCAGTGAGACAAATTAAATGCACTAAAAAAATTTCAGTCCACACACTTTGAACCAAATCATTTTTTTCTAATTTAAATGAATTTAAAATAGTTTAACTTTAAAAAATCATTACTCAATAACTATTAGGCCGATTTCCTTCAAATAAAGACCATTCTAAAGGGATGGCCTTGATATGAAATTTGAATTTAAATATTGGCAAACATTTCTTCGAACACTGTTCGAAGTAAATCCAAATAATCTAAGAAAAACCCTACGAGTAAATTTTTTTTTCATCATTACCATCGTGTAGAGAGCATCTCTTTATTAGTTGTAATCCAAATTTTTAAAATAATCTACCGAGTAGTTTTTAAGATATGATTTTTTGAAGTTAAGGTTTGCTAACCAAGCATTGCTCCATATAGGAGAAATACATGTTAATCTTACTTAAAATTGCATTTTTATAAAAGTATTTGTTTTAAGACTCTTCTTTTGCTTAAAAATGGTCAATTGTACCTTCTTTGTTCTAATTAGAATAAACAAAAACTGTTTGTTTACTTAAAACAAATAAATAGTACCTGCGTACAAATTGAAGCAAATAAAGACCACTGATCATTGAGCAAAGAGAAGTTTAAGGCACGAGCCTTAAATATAAGGGCAAATCTTTTTTAAATCAAATCACTTTTCAGATTTCGACTTGGTCACTTTGTTCTAGCTTTCTGAACTTTTTTTGAAAATGTTCTAAGCAAATCCTTTCAATCACTTTCGAGTGATGTTAAATGCAATAAGTCACCTGATTTATTTAGTTGGTACATTCTACAATTTGCTTCAGTTAGCTTGTAGGTAGTAGTTGTTGTGATAACAGTTGCACACGAAGCAACTGACTTATTGCATTCAACATCAGTAGAAAGTGATGAGAAAGCATTTGCTAAAAACATTTTCAAAAAAAAGTTCAGAAAGCTAGAACAAAGTGAACAAGTTGGAATCTGAATGGAAAGTGATTTAATTTGAAAAAGATTTGTTCTTATATTTAAAGCTACTGCCTTAAACTGCTAGATCCTTTTTGCTCAATGATCAGTGATCATTTTTGGAACAAAAAACTCTTTATTTACTTTAATTAGTACGCAGGAACTTTTTGTTTGTTTTAAGTAAAGAAACAGTTTCTGTTTATTCTTATTAGAACTAAGAAGGTGCAATTGACTATTTTTAAGCAAAGGAAGAGTCTTAAAACAAATACACTTATAAAAATGCAATTTCAAGTACGATTAACATGCATTTCTCTTATATTGCCCAATACCTGAATAGCAAACCTTAACTTCAAAAAATCATATCTTAAAAACTACTGGGTATATTATTTAAAAAATTTGGATTCTTACTATTAAAAAGATGCTCTACACGATGGCGACAAAGAGAAAAAATTTACTTTTAGGGTTTTTCTTAAATTACTTCGATTTACTTCGAACTCCTTCGAACACTGTTCGAAGAAAAGTTTCCCAATATTCGATTTCAAATTGCATATCATTCTAAAGGGCAAGTCCATCCCTTTAGAATGGTCTTTATTTGAAGGAAATCGGCCTAATAGTTATTGAGAATTGATTTTCAAAGTGTGTGGACTGTTTGATTTTTTTAGTGCATCTGATTTGTCTCACTGAGACGAACAAAATTATATAAAATTTGTCAAGTTGTCACGACATGACTTTTTTTTGTCGCCCTGTGTTATTAGGTCAAGAGAAAGCCATTTATTTCGGCCTCTTCTCTGCTCATTTTATTTCAATAAAACTTTGTTTTAGCCGGCTATATTTCATTAACTTCAATTATATTAGTCGACCTCCTGGGCTTGGATAAGCTGACGAATGCGTTCGGCTTGTTGATCCTCTTCCGTGGAGCTGCCGCTATTGTAGGTTCCCCTTTGGCCGGTTTTATATACGATAAGACGAAAACCTACGACATCCCGTTCTACGTGGCCGGATCATTGTTCGCGATATCGGCTGTAACGAGCTTTCTTGCACCTTGTTTGAAGCGTTCAGAAGAGGAAGAACAACCAGTCGGCGAAGGCGACGCTCTTACTCCAATTGATGAAGACGAAGAAGAAGACGATGCGGGGATTACGATGGGGCCAGGTCATAAGACGCGACTCGATAGTGGACCCATTCCGAAAATTGTGGAGACCGCTTCGAGTCCTGGGGAGAAAGAGATCAAGCAAATCGAATCCGTTTTATAAAATAATTCTGATTTTAAACGAACTTTCTGCGCCCGTAACAAAGTTATTTTTCTAATGTGTTCCCACGTCGTGAACAGGAGGCTAATTGGTACATAATGGAGAATGCTGTGCAAGTGTATCGCTTCATGTGATGAATGAGAAACTCAACTCCGTTCTTTTTTTACAGATTTGTTATACTTGTGTACGGATAACTTGTAGGCGCACAAAGTTACACCATGTATATACACATCATGTTATGTAGTTTTATTGATTTTTTTATTGTCAGTGTTAATTTGTTTGAATTGTATTTTACATGATTTATGATTTTTGCCAGTTTATAAAACTGTGTGATGTTGAAGAGACAGTATTTTGTGAATTTTAGTAATTGTATGTGCGAAATTAGGCCAAATGTACGTTTAAAAATCGTTGATTAGTGAATATGTACATAATGAAATAACTTGGACAATATTCTTAGAACCGCTACTATTTTTCATATACGTTGCACAACTTAATTCGTTCCACTTTTATGCTTTACAATTAGGAACTGGTCAATCGAACTTTTTTACTAATATAATATGATGCAAGTCTTTGAATCAAGTCAATTTAAAATCCTAGTTGTAAAGTGTGACGTCTTACTTTTTTTTAGCTTGAGTTCTTTATAAAAACCTGCTCAGGACAGTTGCAGACGCATTGATTAATAAAATAGCCTTATCATAGATATAGTACCTGTGCACCTCAAGTTAATGTATTTTATTCTTTAATCTATACACTTAAATACATTTATGAAGATCTCTAAAAGATTTCCTTTTTTCCGCACATTAAATAATAAGAGTTCTCCTTACATACTACTATATGGGTTTGTTCAGTACAACAGTAGTTAAACTTTTAAGGATTTTCAAAAGTAAGTATATAAAAAAAAAGCTAAACCTTATGATATTTCGGCCTCTTTTAAGGTAATTTTAAACGAGTTAAATTTCGCCTGCGGCTCATACTGAATTTTGAAGCATTTCAGTCTATTTGTATAAAAAATTAACAACTTACTAGAACACACTGTTCGCTAATGGGCCCAGAAATGGGCTAGTGCTTCTTTGATTAGTGCTGCGCACGCTTTGCATAACAAGGTTATTTCATTAACGGCTAATAAATTAAGTTTATTCCTTTTTGTTTTAGAGCATGGAAACGATTTATTTAATAATGGCACAATCACAAACAAAATAAACAGATGTGAATGTGAAAAATCAAGAGAAAAAATTATCAGAAAGAAACAAGGAACTATACTTAAATAAAATCATAAATTTTTTTATATTCTTATTGAAAAAAAAAGACAGCTAAATGCACATTGTTTTTTAACCTTCTCTCGGAAGAGACCCCTCTGGAGTTTCAGATTCATCAGAGGATCTATAACTATAAAGGTGTATTAAAATAAAAATATTTATTGTCTTTTTCTTACGACCCTAAAATTAGACACTATTATTTTCCAAAGAAATGTTTTCTTAAAGAAGCTCCTCGTTAATTGTGACGTTGCCATTTCCTCATATAATCCGCGTATTTCTTGTTACAAACACTAGCTATTAATTAAACTAACTGGAATACGTGCATCAGTTGTTTTATGAGTGAACTTTTTCCACCGTAAAGTTTTTCTTCCATTTTTGCCATCTACACTCAGGCCACGGCTCAGGTTCAAAAAAACGCAACAATCCAATATTTGGTAAAATTTAAGGTCTCATAATTTTTTTATTTTAAATTCAATTTTCATAAATTTTTTAACAAACTGTAGATACAATTACTAATTTTACTCGTAATTTGCATATTCAGTCTTTTGTTAAATGCTTATGTTTTAGTTATTATACAGGATTAATTAAAAGATTGTTGTCGAACCCTAATTTTAAAACACCCCGTGGAATAATTTCATAACCAAATTTTTCCAAAGTACCCGTTTTTGTGAAGAATCATGCTTCTCCTACATTTTGTTTTTTAGTTCATATCTTTAAGTGCATTGGTTCATTTTTCAGAGCAAAATGAACTTGTCACCAACAGTTTAGTTTAAGAAATGTTTATTTTTGATGAACTGGCTTTGTTGCGCTATAATTGTGGAAAATTGCGAAAAAGCGCAATTTTGTTGAAGATGGTCGTAATTATGAATGTGTAGCAAGAATCTTTCATGTTCATCACTTGATGCGTCATCAATAGCACTACCTAGTTTTTCGTTTTCTGGCATTACTTACCTGCCCTATGCGTATTTATGCCAGTTTGTCTAAAACGTTTAAGTATTATTATGTCGTGCCACAACCATCGCCACTTTTCACGATGTTTTTTCTGTATGACAGAGTGGAGTTTTTTGGCTCAAAATTTGTCAGTAGGATTTCAGTTGTAACACAGATTCTTCTTTTACACAGAAATCAAATATTTCTGACCTATTTCACCTCAAAAAATGCAGTTGTGACACTGCAAGGGCGGCGATGGCGATGGCGCAGGTAATATTTAGTTATCCGTATTGAGGTCGAATATCCTACCTTAAAAACAGAACAAAATCCATTAAATTTTAATTGTTGGCCTATAGGTATAGTAGTTAACACAATACGCAAACAATAATATAACTAAAAAAAAATATAGTAATAAAATAGATTAAAGTCCAATATCTAAGGGTCAAATGTAATAGTAATACATAACAGAAAGTTCAATACAGTTAAATGCTATTTATTCTAGCAGATGCATTCTGAACTCGATTATATTTGTATTTAAAAAGACCAATTTCGACACGTGTATGTGTGTGTGTTGGTATGTATGTACAACTTTGTTAACATTGTTGTTTTTCAAGAAATAAACTTCCCACACTTCATCGTAATTTGTCTTAAAATCAATGCAATTTTACATTTAATAATTATGTAATTACTGCCCAAAATGTATTTTAGTTTATAGTTGTTCTTATTCTCTAAAATTATATCTGTACCTAAGAGCAAAACAGTATATTAACGACCAAAACGCAATTTTTTCTTTATAGCACTTTTAAAACAAACAATAATCTTGTTTAAATTTCTTAATAATTTACATAGACTTCCTCAAAAAATTATCAAATGGAAATAAAAAGGCTTTATATAACCTTCAGGTAAATTACTGGCTGTTTAATTATGTAGATAAAATCAAATTTAAAATCGATATCGTATTGACAGAAATATCTGTCGTAAATTATTCAAGTGATTTATTATACAAGGGCATGTGGATTATAATACTTTTACAATAGACGGTCCTAACTACTGGTAATGAGGTGTATGGTGGTTGTATGTATAATCTTAGACAATAAGTACGAACTTAATTACAATATTTAGGTACTATCTACGATTATTCAGATTCAACTAATCTGTGACTATTTATTCTTGTATCTTGTTATAATCTTGCCCGAATTTGTTTGGCCAAAATCGTAGTGCACAGGTGTGCTGTGGCCCAATAGAAAAACAGGGCGACATCTTTGAAAAAATGTTAATTCTAAATATACCTTAAAATTTTTAAGATATTTTCTGCTTTTCTGTTTACCCTTGAAAATGAGGGCGTTTTCCTTTAGCCCTCTTACTACTAAAAATACTTTATAAAAAGTATGGGTTATAACTCACATGTATGTTATAGACGTCATAATATTCGAAATGCACAGTTTACAGTTATATAAGTTTATTGTGGATAAACTTTTTTATTATGGAAAAATAGATATTACAATTGAATGAGTGTAAATGTAAATTCATCAATTGCACTTTTGAATTAATTCAAAGTCTAAAGTGATTGGTTTCTCACATTATTATAATGGCCGACCTCACGCGAACCAATCACAATGCTACAACTTTTACAATCTACGTTAATCACGTTAATTCATAACAGCGCAACGGCTCCGCCCCTTTTGCGCAAAACGTCAAATTTGATTTCTAACCTTCTTGACATGTGTTTATGACATTTCCATGCATTTTTTAAAGAAGTACCAGAAAATAGTTAAATTCACCTGTTTAGCAACATTTTCATTAGGGTAAACTTCCCTTCTCTTTTATAATCAATCAAGTCAATCAATTTTTAGGGCAGGATGGTTATACTATCAAGTGAAAACGACCAAAAAAATCCTCAGCAATGCCTTAGATACCTCAATATTATCAATAGTCGAACCAACAGCTATCGAAAAAGCCAAAGATGATGATTTCTTCGTCATTGACATAACTGGGGACCCGAACCGCCAAGAAACATCATATTTACAAAAATGGAACGCTTTGAAGTTCTCATTCGCCAAGCGATTGCTAGTTCTCGCCAGTAGTGACAATAGATTTCTTCGGAAAAGGGCTGTGAGACAATTAGCTAGGATAAAAAAATTAGAAACTTGGCAATATTCGCAACTCGCTGATATGATTGATGCTAGGACTGCGGTGGGACTCGCTAGAACACCCGGTGTTGAGCCTAGATTATTCAATAACCCGCCCTTAAGATTCCTCGGTCATACACACGATATGATTGTAGATGTGATGAAAAATTTGTTAGTCAACTTACACGCAACGTCTCAACACCCTTGTATGGGTTATTTCATCTCAAAGGCTTTTGTCGACTTGCATGTACTAAACCATTGTGGAGTGAGACAAACCACCAATATTGAATTTTTAGGAAGTTGAAAAATTTGGTGGTGACGACATAACCCCCTACGAGTTGAAAAACTTCATCCAAACTAGTGAAGAACTCCTACCAACATGTCTAGAGTCACTTTTACACCACGCTAGTTTAGGGAAATATGCCAAAGACATTGCCGAACTAAACGGTCTTCCTCTATTAATGGAAATTCACAACCGGTTTAAAGATAACATTACCGTAACTGCAACTATTTGTAGAATAATTTCGTACCTTTCAATGCATAAAGACCTACTTGACGAAATGTACAAATCAGGTAAACAATGAATTATTTATTAAACAAATTATTAACAATTTAGGTTGGGTCGGGCTTTTGGCCCAATGGGTTAAACACGACGACGTCCGAATATCAATCCCCGCGTCTAAAGCACTTGCTAATTTAGACAGTGATGAAGACCCTGTATACCTACAAAGACTCTACCCTTTGCACCCTTCAACGCGTATTGTACAAACCCCTGGAGTTGATGTCGTTTTTGTCCATGGGTTACTAGGGGGTGTATTTTTTACGTGGAGGCAAAGAAAACGTAACCAGGATCCGTTGGGGTTCCTTGGTAAGAAGGGTGTCCCAGGTGAGTAAGGATTTTGTTACCAGGTGTCCTAAACCTACCACATGATCCTTACCCAATCCCAATCAATAAATTTGACTACTAGTTATTAATGAAATATAATTTATAGAAAGTCTAACACAGAAAAACTCAACTTGTATCAACAAACAATGCACAGAAAAGAAGAAAAAAATCGAAACTAGTGATCCTGTAATGAGGGAATTTATGGAAGAGTTTGAAACTCATGCTGCTTCTGGTTGTCTTTGCAACGATTATGATTTCGTTTGGGAGGATATACCAGTGAATACGAATGAAACCGCCCTAGGGCCGTACTGTTGTTCGGGCTATAAATACGTCTGTATGGAAAACAATGAGGACGATTGTTACACCAACTGCTGGCCTAGGGATTGGTTAGCGCAAGATTGTGACCGTTTGAGGATCATTGGAGTAAACTATGAGACAAATTTGTCATTATGGACACCTATTTGTCCTGTCGAGAAAGTCAAAACTTTGGAAGAAAGAAGCGATGAGTTGATTGAGCAATTGGAGAGGGTTGAAGTTGGAAGAAGACCGATTGTGTGGGTGACACACTCAATGGGTGGTTTAATGGTAAAATGTCTCCTAAATAAAGGTACAACTACATTTGCTCGAATTTATTTAATAATTAATTATAGCTTCTGAAAGTAGTGATAAAAAAATCAGGGATTTGTACACAAACACAAGGGGATTAGTTTTCTACAGCACACCTCATTTCGGGTCAAGTGTGGCTAGTTTTAGTCAGGCATCAGCCCTTGTGATATGGCCAAGTATTGAAGTGCAAGAATTACAAAAAAGTATTTTGGATAGCCTCCAATATTGGGGTTTACAAATTTGTTTTTTAGATTCACCACTCTTGATACAAATACACCAAAAATTTCTTAAACTGACTGAAAATCATCCAATGAAAATTGTGACTTTTGTAGAGACTAAACCAACTGTAGTGTCAGCAATGAAATTTAAATTTTTTGTGGTAGAACCTGACTCTGGAAATCCGGGATATGGAGAATATTACGAGATACCTTTGGACCATTTAGGAATTTGTAAACCAGCAAGCAGGCATGACTTTAATTAAATTTAAGCTAAGTCTAATTACAAATGTGTTGCAGACATTCATTTCTATACCAAAAGGTGCTTCATATGATTACATCTATTCTGGACAATAATGGGCCAGTGTAGACTTATGTAAATAAAACTTTTTAGAATTAAAATATTCAAAAGCTTTTTAACATTTTTCTAACCTAGAAAAGATACAGTCCACTAAAAATTCTTTTGTAAAGAGTCAGCCAAATAATAAAAAAAATAATGACAACTAGATAAAAAGTGAGGTTAAGTTTAAACGTCATGAAAAAAGTTTAGGAAACAAAAATGGTATTTAATTTACAAATTTCTCTTCAACTATTATTTATTTTCTAAATTGTAGGACATAAGTGCGTTTTCCGATGATAATTTCGATACCAAAGCGTGGATAAACGATATTTTAAAAAATGCAGAAACTCAGGATAAAAAAGAGGTTAGCTCTCCTAAACTTTGGTAAAAACTGTTAATTTTGTCTTTTAGAATTATACAACGTCCCTGGTGATGAAATTACAATTATGCGTTCAACAAGTGAACAGTGCACTTGAAGACACAAGTCAGCAGATCCTAATGTCACTGCCAAAAATTATTCGAGACACTAAAAACCTCCATCAGGAAGCAGCAATTTTAAAGGAAAAAATGGCTGCGGTACGTAGCGAAATCGTAAAAATTGAACAAGATACTGGAAAGTCAATAAATACAATTGAAAAGTTGGACACAATTAAAAATGAACTGAATTTAGCCAAGCAGGGGCTACATGAGAGCGACAATTGGACTATTTTAGGTATAAGCACGTATTTTTTAAATTATTCTGCTAAATTCACCTATTTTTTAAATAGTTAACGACTTGGAAGAAGTTTTTGATTCTAAAAACATTGAAAATATTTCCACAAAAATAATTGGGATGCAGAGATCTTTGCAACTATTGGTCAATGTTAGTGACTATGAAGACCGTAAATTACAGTTGGAAGGACTCAAAAATCGACTAGAAGCAATTGCTAGTCCAGCTATAGTCCAGGCTTTCACTTCTTCCAACACAGGTAGAACAAAAGCTCGATTTCTCAACTTTTTTACGCAATTTCAGAACAATCATCAATGTTTGTAAGGATATTTAAATCAATGGGGCGTCTTCCACAACTGCTAAAGTATTACCACAAGTGCCAGAAAGACGTCTTATTGAAAAAATGGCGCAACCAATTAGAAATTGAACAAGACGAATCTGTCACTCAATGGATTCACAATTTTTACGGCATTATGTTATCTAATTGGCACACCCAACAAAAATGGTTCAACCAAGTCTTTGTTAATCAAAACAGTTGTGAATCATTCGTTGAGATCTACACTGATGTACTCACCTCTTTAGACCCGACTCTCAACGAATGTATAGACGCCGCTTTAAAACAAGTTGAAGATAAACTAAATTTCCTCTTTGAAATCAAACAAATCACACAACAATTTGCTGCCAACTTAATTGACGTAATTAATCAATCACCTGGTGGAAAACTAGCCCACGACAAGTGTTTGATGCTTTTACAAGCAGTTTACAATCATTTAATCACATACACAAGCAAATACGCGGCTTATGAACAAGCCCACTTAATGAAAAAATTATCAACGATAAATTGTATGAAAGATGAGCTTACTGATACGATCCAAGCTCTCGGTTTGAGTATTCCTCAAGTAATCGACATTGCCCGAGATGCTAAAAAGCGATGTCAACAAATTACCGAAAACTGCGGTTATTGTGGCTTGATAATCGCCCTTAGGGCTTTTCTACTAAGCTATGCGGATCAGTACAGGGTCGCATTGAGACAAATTGACCGGAGTAAGAAACAAGAAGAGGATTGGGGCACCTTCCAGTTGTGTTTATCCCTTCTTCAAAACACAGGTGAAGTCTTGTTGAATTTGCAACAATTGGAGAAAGACTTAACTGGAACTATACTCGAAACTAATCAAAATAAAGAAGAGTTTGAGTACAAGTATTTACTGTTGAGTGCCTCTGACCGAAAAGAGTTCGAGTCTTTGGTCAGGTGTGTCACTGAAGGGACACAACTGTCCCTCCTCGACCATGTCAACACAGAATTTAATAAACTGTGCTCTGATATACACCACACGACGTATCAAGTGGTTTTCGCCCCAATTTCGGTGCAGTTAGATGTGGTGCAATCGCCAAAAACGTGGTCACAATTCGCAAACTCGTCAATTCACAATTCCGACTTGCCTGATTACAGTTTCTCGCCCCAGGAATATATCACACAGGTGAGGTTTCGCTTTTTGAAAATTATTTTTAAATTGGGTTTTAGATTGGTCAATATTTGATGACTTTACCCCAACATTTAGAACCATTCCTGTTCAGAGATAATCCATCGCTCACTTGCGCTTTGAAGGCAGTGGATCAGGAGTATAGCACTGCGGGAGAGATTGAGGGGGCTCTAGCTCACGTGTTCCTCAAGTTTATAGCCAGGAGGACTTGTCAAGGCTTCTGTGAACGGATTTTGTCAATTTTTGAATTAAGTCAACCCGCGAGCCGGCAATTGGCTCACGATATCGGTAATTTTAGAATTTGTGAAGTTGAAGAATTTTCAAATTTTTTTTGTAGGTTACTTGGAGAATGTGTTGCAGGATTTGGGAATTTCGTTAGGAGAGAACTTGCAACAACTAGCAACATTATTAAAACTACCAAACGATCAGTATCACTCTGGTAGTACCGGGTGTTCAGCTAGGTATGTCGCCGCAGTTCGCCAAATGAGAAATATAACATCCAATTAATCTATTTTATTTATACTTTTTAACTTATTGTTTTGTACAAAACAGTTTATAGCAATAAAATCTATTTTTGTTCTTCGGGTGCCCAAAATTTGAAAGTCCGATCATAAGAAGCAGTCGCAATATACTGATTATCGGGCGATATATCAGCCGACATGATTTTGCCATCATGGCCTGATAAAGTCTTCAAAGGTTGCCAAGTCCGATTTGTCCATAATTTTGCCGTATTATCATACGAAGCGGTAATTAAATAATCGCCACTCTCCCTTTGAAACTTCACATCCGAAATTAAATTCGTATGAGCGGGGATTGTATACAAAACGGAACGTTTTCGCAAATCCCAAATTTTACAAGTGTTATCTTCGCTAGAGGTTGCAATGTGGTAACCATCGGGGGAAAAATCTATTCCTAAAACTGCTTTTAAGTGACTCTCCATGAACATTATGCATCTTCCAGTTCTTAAATCCCACACGCGGCCAAACGAGTCTAAACCGCTGTTAAAAAATTAGCTAATTTTTGTATATAAATGCGAAAAATACCTACCCTGTGGCACAAACTGATCCATCAATTTGGAAGGATATACAATAGACAGGTTTGACATGTCCTTCTTGGTGCAACACTTCGGTGCATTGCTGCAGATCCCACAATCTCCAAGAACAGTCAAAACAACAAGTTCCTAGAAACCGTCCTGAGGGATGAAAACCTAACCGGGAGACACGATGTGGCATATGACCCTCAATATCGGCGATAGGTTCCTCGCTAAAAATTTCAATTTGAATCTGAGTGAGGCACTGAAATTGCGCACCTTTGAAAATCCCACAATTTCACTGAACCATCGGCTGCACACGACGCCATATTACAGATGTTTTCCTCCTGACTTATTGTCGCTTTAGGATGAAAAATAATCGCACTGGCGTTACAAGCATGACCTTTTAGTGTTTGTTTCAGTGTGCAATCTGGTACTGACCACACTTTGCACAACCCACTCCTGGAATAAAAACAAAAATAACGTATTCACCCCATTATTAAAAATTTACCATCCTGCTGTTGCCAAAAGCTTAGAATCTGGACTAAACTGGCAATACGCAATCGGTCTCGAATCCCCAATTTGACTGGAATAAATTGACATAATTTGCAACTTTTTCTGTATTTCTTGTTTTTTGGCTGTTTTAGTAGCGGTTGATAGATCTTTCGCTTTTCTAGCTTCTTCAAGTCGGGCCTTGGCTCGTGGAAGTGAATAATGAGCTATCCATAATCTAGATATTCGCAAACTTTCTGGTCCTTCGTGATACCATGTTGTTTCTAAATCTCTTTCAAATATTTTTCGTTCTTCTTCAGCTTCGCGTCGAATAACTGCGTCTTCACCGATGCGACTTAGTATTTCACGTAGGCGAGAACGTCGATCGGCGGGTCCTTCCCCGAATAAACAGATCGGTTCTCCCAACTGACGAAGGTTTCGTTTCACTTCGGCGTCGTCGGTGGACACGTTAATAGAGCGGGCTTTGCGACGACGTTCGAACTCTTCCAAGAGGGCTTGCTTGTCTCTGGACATGGCATCCTCAAGCTCCATGTATTCTGAAAGACGTTGTGGTTTAAAAGTAATAATTAAACCCTAGTTTTCAAATGTTTGTAGGAAAGAAATTAATCACCTAACATCCATTAAATGAAAAACAAAGCAATCTACAGCGACTTCTCCATAAACCCTATTTTGTTGACCATTATATTGATATTGCCATCAAGTAATGATGTTTGACATGAGAATAATGTAAAAAAGCCCCGTAAATCCCCCAATCTACGGGCCAGTACAGACTTCTGCCTCTCAACTTAATGAATCATGATTAATTAAGTTATTATTATTGTTGTGTAAAATAAATTTCATTAATATTGTGTAATAGTATTACTAAATTTAAATTTAATTTTAAAAGTTCAAGATTTACTTTTAAATTCTTTGGTACTGCAATTTACTTTGACCGATTTCATGTTCCACATGTCCTTAAGAATCATGTATTTAGAAATTTTTGTGTGATAAGTATTCTGGATGTTGTGTTGAAACTGCAATGTCAATTAAAATTGCATGTTTTTCAGTTTCAAAAAAAGAATAATGTCTAGCTTATTAGCAGTTACATTTAAACTAGTTAAAACTGTTCTATCCCAATAGAGTTTTTAATTATCATTTTCTTTGAAATGAATCTGGTTCATATTTGGAAGGCGTAGAAGCCCTCACAATTTTTCTCAAAATCATTTATGTGATTCAGAAGATACTATATTGTTAAATATTTCAGTTGGCAATAGACGTAAGGCACTACATTAAAACATTATCAATTATTCTCTTTCAATTCTTTTCTTTCACCTTCATGCTTCATTATTTCATTTTTAACGTGATTTAATTTACACAAATTGGCTTCTGAACCCTTGAACCAATTATTGATTTAAAAACTGAGAATGAATTATTTTCGCCACATTATCATGTTTAACTTTAGTCTGATGCAGTCAATCTATATAGGTATATAAAAAACCACTGAAGCTAGAAACATGAAATTTGGCAGATATGTTCCTTAGAAGGTGTAGAGGTCCGCTCAGAAAGGATTTTTATAAAATCAACCTCTAAGGAGCTGAAATAGGGTGTAAACGTTTAAACAAAGATAGAAACAAAGAATTTGGAAGATATGTTCCTTAGCGGTTGTGAAGGTACACTAAGACTAAGATTTTTCAAAAATAATTAGTAAAAACTTTTGTACTCTCTTGGAAAAGGGGATGAAACGGGTTGTATAAGTTTAAACGAAAATAGAAACACTAAATTTAAAAGATATGTTTCTTAGAGGCTGCATTTTGGATGTCCGAATAGGGAATCTCCGAAACTAAGAGGTTTGGCCAAGAACGAGTGATACATTCTGGGGCTCATTTTTTGAGAAAATAATATTGGTTAAAACCGCATCCCGCTATCGTCTTTTGTTTTCGACTTACAGACAAAAGTTGACATTTTGGCGAAATCTAAAAAAATTATATCTTCGTTATTATAGAAGATATGGATTTGAAATAAAGACATTATAGAGGCCCTTTTTTACGAGGAATTTAATAATGTAGTTAACAATTTTTTTCAGTTATTAGTTTAGCCGTAATAAAATAAACTTGTATTTTTTCAAATGGAAATCATAGGCGGCTATGGCAATTTTGAAAAGCTTATTTTTTTCTGATCTAAAAAATATATATTTGTAACAAAATATTTTTTTATAACTATACTTAAAAAGTGGAATACATATTTTGTGTGATAATAGTTGGCCATGGAAAAACTATTTCACTCCAAATGTGTAAATAATAATCAATAAGAGTTTTGTGAACTGTAAAATAGATGAAAATATAGATAAAATTATAAAGATTTAAAAAATACAATACGGTAGAAGCATTGAACAAATATCCGAGCCTCAGAACAAAATTATTACATATTTTTAAAAAATCCAAAAATATGAAAAACAAATGTGTCAACAGTCAACACAATTAGAAAAAACATTTTTTTGATGATCTAATGGAGGTAGGATAACGTTTCACATAGACGGAATTTGGGTATTTGAATAACCATATCGTCATTTTTGTGTCATATAAAATATATTTCATTGAGGAATTAAAGCGGCTTTTTTTTACAACACTATGTATCACTAGAAGTTACAATGGTAATGGTAACTTGTTTGAAAACAAAGAAATGTTATTAGTCGCCAATAAGTTGATTTACGATTTATTTAGCATTTTTTTCATTACTTAGTACTTAGAAAACTCTTTCATTTGTGACACTGGTTGAATATAATATAGTTTAAATCCTTTTAGTTGAAGATGCAACATTTTTTCATGGCCAACTGCAAACAAAAATCAAAGATAATTTTTTGCTAAAAATGTATTATAATAATTTGTTACAAATATATATTTTTTAGATAAGAAAAAAACAAGCTTTTTAAAAATGACATAGCCATCTATGATTCCCATTTAAAAAAATACAAGTTCATTTTATTACGGCTAAACAAACAAACAAACGTATTAGTTCACTAAGAAAGGATTTTTAAAAATTATATTTACAAAAAGGTGAAATATGTTGTCAACACTTAAACGAAGATAGAAACATAAAATTTGGAAGATATGTTCTTTGGCGGTTGTAAAGGTGCACTAAAACGAGATTTTTAAAAATCAGTTTTTAAGGGGGCGAAATGAGGTGTACATGTTTAAACGAAGATAGAAACATGCAATTTGGAAAATATTTTTCTTAGAGAGTAGAGAAGTGTACTTATCAGGCACTTATCAAAAACCAACCTATAACGGAATGAAATTAGGTGCAAACATATAAATATAAAATTTTAAATTTTGAGATTTGAGGGTGTAGAAATGCACTAAGAAGACACTTTTTGAAAATTCGACGAGGTGAAGCGTTTATAACGTACTTTCGTCATTCTTTTAAAAATCGGGTTTCTGATGCCTCCGCGTTGTTTTGAGTTGATGAATCAAGAAAAAAATAGATAAACAGACTAACTTCACATTTCTTCTTTAAGAAACAACAAAAATTTATATCGAAAATCTACGTGGACGAAGTAACGGGTGCAAACTAGTACTTGATAGGAAAAAACTTATTTTTCTTAAGATTGAATTGTTTCTGAATAATAATCATCATTACTTTTGCTATATATTTTTTGTATTAATTACTTGGTTAATTATTTTCTGTTATTTTGTAATTATTTAGTCGCATGAGAAAATATCAACGTATTTTAACACTACTACTTTTTTGCTACTGTTTTTATGGATTTATTATATTAATATGTGAGTATTTCTGATTTATTGAAAAAAAGGCCTAAGTTTAGTATTTGTAGGTAGAAATTGAATTATTTACAAATTCTTGGCACAACTAAACTGTAATTTTTGAAACCATGTCTATGCTTGTTTCGCATGAAACTTGAAGATAAGATTTACAGCCACATGACCCAAACAAATTATACCTGTGGAAATATGGACCTGTGGCGGGTTCGCCGAGGTGCTTTCGGCCTTTTCATTGTTATCCTCGTTTCCATCTCCGGCTGCTAACCTAGCTCTTTCGGCCTCCTCCAACGAGCCATAATGAATAGTCCTTGGCTTTTTCACAAACTGTACTTCTTCATCGTCAGACATGTTGCTAAAAAATGAACCGGAATGAGTGTTTTCGCAAATTAATTAGTAAAATAGAGGTTTGTTTACATGCTATTAATTCAAACCTCGTCGTTTGATGGAAATGTCACGTTGACATTTGTCGCAAAAAAAAACTAACCAACTAGGGGGTTCAGTGATGCCAACAACAAGTTTTTACGATTTCTTCCACAAAAGAAATATTTCTGTTTTCTTTACAGAGCGTTTTGCTATCTCTGTCTAATTTTTTTTCCAAAAAATTCCACGAGAGAGAGAGATTATCAAGTTTGGTCCGGAAATCTTGGTTAAAGTGCGATGTTGTGCCGCGGAAACCGCCTAAATAGCCGTGCCATGTCCCTCCGAGTGTGTTATGGGTCGTTTTGTGTGCGAAAATCGTAAACGAATTCGTAAATTAGTGCAAAATCGGCGCGACGACCGATCGTTGAACTTGAACAGTTGATAGATTTTCTCTTTCTTTCCCAGGCTCTGAAAAATCTCAAGTTTATAAAAATAAATATGAAAGGCCTAATTACAGTACAGTCCGAGTCTGTGTCGGTTTAATTTTTGACCCCGTTTTGGATCTGCGTTAGTCGAGTTTGGTGCCGTTAGTTAAGCTGAAAAGCCGTTGCTCTCGACAAATATTTGTGTGTGACGAGCCGAGATCGAAAAAACTCGACAATTCCCAAGATTTTTTACGCGAGAATTTTTTAAGACGTGCGGTATTGATTTGCCTTAAAGGCTTGGCCCGGCGAATATACGGACTATACATGGTTTATAGGGGTCTTACGTGGTTTCTATTGGCTCACTGACTCATAAAAAACTAAGGGACACATTTTTTGTCGGAATTTTCCAAATGACTGAACATTTACATACGCGTCTCCAAATTTTTGAGAAAACCTCGGCCGGACTTTGTATTATTTAACCTTACAAAAACAGTCGACTTGCGGATGCGTTGTGTTGTGCTAGTGAAGTGGTGGTGATTTAAAAAAACAAAACATTTCGCGAATTGCGACCATCCAAAAGACCCAAAACTCGACAAGTATTGATTATTTTTCAGCGTTTCGAAGGTCTCACGCTGGTGACTCATTAGTTTTTATGAAATTCGTCATCTCTCAACTGAAATAATCAAAAGGAGGCTGGACGAAACATAACCAAAAATGCTGCCTCAACAGTATTGTCTAAGATGGAGGTACCACCATTCAAATTTGCAAACCATGTTCTCACAACTCCTGGAAAAGGAGGCTTTCTGCGACGTCACCCTAGCCTGCGAAGGCCGAACCATCAAAGCACACAAAATCGTCCTCTCAGCCTGCAGCACCTACTTCGAAACCATCCTCTCCCAGTATGAAGAAAAAGACCCCATCCTCATCATGAAAGATGTTAAATATGTAGATATTAAGTGTTTGGTTGAGTTCATGTACAAAGGAGAGATCAACGTCGATCACGTAAGCCCCCTTCAATTTTTACAATTTAAAAAACCGTTTCAATTTTTCATGACTTGATGAGAAATTCCACTTGTTCTGCAAACTGTGAACGATCGATTTTTCGAAACGTCAATAAAACATTAAAAATAAACAGACTTGTCCCAACATTACGAAATTTAAAACACACGACACCTTAATTAAAAACAATACAAAATCAACAATTAAAATATTAACAGTGGCTCCAGTTCATCCAGACCCAATTGAACATTAATCTAATTGACCAACGATTGGTGTCAGTTTAATTGACATCAGCCTCATCTCATTATTCATAATTTTTAAAACCCATGGAAACACATGTGTTTTATGTTTAAATAAATTACGAAGCGCCACCTGTTGAGTGGTTACATTATGAAAAATGGCACAAGGCGCGAAATTCAAATCTGTTACCGGTCATTTTATCGATTTTAAACTGCGTCATCGGCTTGGGGCTATTATTAAACTTGAGTTTAATTTTTATGAATTTTCAACCAATTTTCTAAGTAAATTAGAAAAACTAACTAATTGCCTAATTAACTGACTTCCGTAACTTACGGGGCTTGCAATTCAAAATTGCGTTCACATGAAAATAATAATTGGTCGCGTGAGAAATATTTTTCTCGATTATAGATTTTTTATTTCGGGATTATTTTAAACGGATGTCGCGACGCGAAACGATTGATTGTGAATAAAATAAGGAATTTTTCATTTTTAACAACACGAACTTCGGAAATGAGTTTTGCTTTTTTTGGTAAGCCGTATAAGGTGCTCTTCCTGTTCTTGCCGTGACACAGGAAACCAACAGTGTTAATTTTAACATAAAAAAATAAATTTAATTTGTAAAACAAAACGACAGCGAAGTAGGTGGTGGGAAATAGATACATTGTTTTTCAGGACAAATCAATTTTATTATTTATAATACCAGTGTAAATTTTTTATATTGATAGATTTTTGGATTATAGAATAAATTATGTACAAAGTTTTTATCAGTTTCAATAGTAAGATAAAAATTTGAAGTGATAAACGGAATTTTAAATTACTGTTATAAAAACTAAGGGATGAATAGAATTTTATATAATTTTTTTATCAATTACAGTTTCTGAAACGTTTGTAATTTTATTTAATTTTTTTATCTGCCATGGCCAACAAGCTTTTGAAATTAAAAAAACCTAATCGTTTTATTTGGTATAATTATTTTTATATTTTCCGATAAAAAATTTATTGCGTAGTATTAATTATTTTTTTTAGAAAATGTTTCAACACGTAAACAATGTTAAAAAGTCAAATATTGGAATATTTATTCAAGTTGCGTTTTTGAATTCCATCATAGACACGATAACATCCTGATAAGTGAACATTATGGATAAAGAAATAGTAACCACAAGTAGTGATACTGAATGTTTGTAAAATAAATTTCGTATAATGAGAAAGAAAAAGTGTTAGAAATTCGCACAAAAAAAAACAAAAATAATAACATGACGTGGGAAAACCAGTTTTCTGTGCTATTTTATTATATTTCTCAATTGGTAGAAAGAGAACTTGTACATTTAAGAAATGTTTAATTTCGTTTCATTCATACATTATTTACCGTTGTTTACGCAATAGCTTTTGATGTAATTGTTCTTTTATGGGACAGGTATTTAATGGAATATACTAGAAATTATTTTTGTATAACCTTCAATAATTAAAATATGTACACACTTCTTTGTGAAAATAAATACGTATTATTTTCATTTTTAGAAATCTGCTTTTGATCCTAAATAACCGCAAAATATAAAGATAAAATAACTTATTCAAGTTGCTAATTTCCGGTTGTTTCATTTGTAAACGTATAAAAAACTGTTTTGTATTCAGATTCTGTTTAATTTATTTATCATCACATGTAGTACGAAATCTAAAATTTTGGCAATTTTGTTGAAGATAATTTTAACATAAAATGAGCTCATTTAAAGACGAATAAAAAACTGATTTATTGTCATTTATTAAGTATGTCATTATTTTCTTAAAGGACCTTGGAAATCCCATTGATGATGAATGGTTTTACGTTTCTTGCAAATTGATTAACAAAAATCAGCCAGAATTTCAATGATATTAATTCTCTTACAAAAGTAGGAATTTGTTCAAACAAAATTTCCATTGTTTCTCTCTACTTAAACCAAAAAAAGTGAAAACTGTGAAATCTATAGACTATAGTTTTCCTAATGGTCAGGTGGACGCAATCAAGCTTCACAAGATCTTAGAAAATATTTTAATCAGGATTGTGTTCCGTAAGCATCAGACCGGAATTTTATTTCCTCACATTCCGACGACTAATTTGTCCAATTTTACACACTAGAAATAATAAAAATCGTGTAAAGTTTTTTCCTCTTTTTCAAGTCTCGTCCTTTATTCGTTCGTACATCACCCCCAAATTCGTTCACTCGGAGAATTTTACGATTCGATGGATTAATCTAAAAACCACTCAACCACCATCGTAAAATTCCCTTATCAATAATCCAAAATTTGATGGCAATTTAAAATGAAAAAGTTGTAATTTATGATAAATAGTGACCTTCACCTTGTTTTTCAATCAATCTTTGACAGATTTGCTATCAGAATTACACGAGGATCAGGTCTTGATCGAAAGTGATATAATTTTTGATTTTTGAGGGTCCCAAAGTTTAATTGTTTTGTCCAGGCCTGAGCATTTTATGATAATAATCGCGGTTTTTTGTTTTATTAAGCAATCTTATCTAGAGTCGAGAAGGATTTTAGGGTACGAAATCAATTAAGGATTTCACATAAAATGACACTGAGATTAATTAAAATACAGTGTTATAAAAAATAAGTCAAAAATTTCACGTGGAAATAAAAAAAACAGATAAATAATAATTGTTGATGAGTTGTCTCACGTTTCGAAAATATTTAGATAAACTAACAAAATAATGAAGGGAAAAATTGGCTTCATTATCAGAAAGTCCACCATATTAACCTTTGAAAAATCATTTTATTGCGATCAAAAACTGAATTTCGAAATATTTTTCTATTACATAAAATAAAACATTGATGTGCTGTTAAAGTGGCATTTTTTTAACGATTGTTCAAATTTCAGTGTCACCTCGCAACGTTATTGAAGACTGCTGAAGAACTGAAAATCAAAGGCCTGGCGGAAGTGTCTTGGCGCGACGAAGATCAACACAACACCGACAGCAACAATGTGAACGGTGTCCAAACGGCACTTCCTCAGGTATCGACAGTAATGGACAATCCGAAAAATGAAGCGCCTTCAAATAAAAGAAAAAGAGGAAGACCTCCCATAGATGATTACGAGCAAGCATTTACAGCACCAAAGATAATGAACGTTACTGGAAACGCCGACGAAACATATTCCAATGATGCGATGTCAACCAGTGATCATGACCTGTCTATTTGGGAAGAAGAACCATCGGCAAATGAAGGAGGAGATTTAACGGAACCAGACGAACCATTACTCAGGGTGAAAAAGGAAACTTCTGTAAGTATGGTAATGCGAACGCCGAGGCATAAAACAAACAATATGCAAGAAGAAAAAAAAAAACAAATATAGAACGGAAACCGACACGTGTTTTCTTCAAGCTGATAACGGCCTTATCGGCTGTTGGTGTTTTATCTTTAACAGCTTTCTTGAATTTTATTTACATATACAGGGTGAATTTCTCTGAAAAATTTTATCAGCACTGATTTGATTAACTTGATTTGAACAATGGTATGTTTTTTGGAGAAAATAAAACTTTAAAATGTTGAATTTTATTGGAGAAAGTTACTTATTGAGGTCGAGAATGTTTTATTTGTCTTAACTCGGCTAATAACAATTTCAAAAATTTGTTTTCGTGTGCGTTGGCGACGCAATTTCGACTGAAAATTGCGAGTGTTAAAGGTCAGAATAATTTTAATGACAATACTTGAGAGGGTCACATTCAAACAAAAAACATGCTAAATATTACTAGGGATGATACTGGTAATGTAATTGGGTTTGTGTGTGTTTTTGTGTTAATTGGTCACGAATAAATATTTATTTTTCACAGTTTAGATTATTTTAAATAGTTTTTGGTCTTGCAAGAGATAAAAATATCGTTCGAAAATTCTCGGAACTAAAATTATAATATTCAACGATAAAAACAAACATTCTCAGAACGCAGCTGTACATCATTTTTATTCAAAAAAATTAAAGCAATTAAAGCGAATTTGAGTTTGCTGAGGTGTAACTTAATACAATTCATTTTGAGTTTCTTCACATGTTTCCGGAAGCTGTTGTTCAAAAATTTCGGAAATTTTTGTTGAAAACGTGTCACCATAGAGGCAAGAAAATAAATATTGATAACGGGATCTCGTGGTTATTTTGAATTATCATGTTTGATTTAAAAATTTCGAAAAACCAACCGCAATGTTAGCCCCAAGGTCAGCGTTGAATTCTAAATGCGATTTCACAAGCTTAATATATTAAATTAAGGCGTTAGTCAGCAGTTGTTTTTGTTGAAAAATTGATATTTTTTCATGTTTAGGTTATGTGACGTCATGCAAACGATTAATTTTATCGCGAATAATACGGGCGTAATATTTTTCGATGATTTTTGCTTATTATTGTAGTTTAATTTCATTTCGATAAAGCTAATTTGCTTTTTATTTGTATGCCACCGTGGCTGTTTTTCTGGACAATAACGTCGATATTTCCATGACGTTCATAGGAGAGGCTTGCGTTTATAAATATGTATCTTAAAAATAAGGTTATTATTTCCGTTAAATTCAAAATCGATTACCCCGAGGGGCAAAACGACGCGGCGTATTATGCACCCGCATGCTTTGATAAAATTTTGACGGCGCTTTACAACACCACACCTTAAAAATATTTTCTTCAATGGAAAGTTTTTTTTACGTTTTTATATTTGACCGAATTGCTAACTTCAAATATTTACTTTGAAATATAAAAAAATGACCTTTTTCGCGTTGTCATACAGTCATGTCAAAAAATAAACGACTCATGTGCTGATAACAGTTGTTCAGCAATTTTTAAATATCTTCGCGCCCTACATTTTTGTACATACACATACACATAATAAATTAAAAAATATTTTTCAAGTGGAAATATGTTGATCATCTAATCATCTAATAATAATTAAATGTAATGGTGATAATAAAAATTAAACAAGAAATTCAAAAATGTAAATTCTGACGAAGTGTTTTTCTCATTTTTATCTTTGTTTATTTACGTAAGATTCGGTAAGTTCATTGTCCAAACATCAATGTGGCACCTATTTTTTTCCCCAAAATTGAGATAACCAACACGACTTTATCCTCAAATTCTACAAATAAGTGAAAAATAACTACGTTCTTTAAAATACGAATACTATTTTTCAGATTTTCAAACTTTATTATTTTCAAATACTAAGTTTAATAATAAAATAACCACCCGGAATTTTATACAAATCGTCTACTAACGATTACAGGATATAAGATCTCAAATAACCATGGAATTTACGAGAATGTTGCCTTTTTTATACCGTTCTATGGAAAAAATTACAACGTTGTTTTGATGACGTTGTAAAATATTTGATAAATATGCGAAAAATTTAATTTTGAAATTCTCATCAAAAGAAATCCAGATAGCGATCAATATACCTTTACAGAAAGTGAAATTCACAAAAAGTCATGGCTAGAGTTATGTAAAGGACATTTGTGGATTTATTTAAGAAAGACAATAATTTTTTTGTTGGTAATTTTACATTTTTACCATCCATTACCATCCTTAGAGAGTGAATTACACTTTAGTCTTATTATTAGTCTATAAGAATTATGATTTAAGGGTTTTGTAATTGTAATTAGCTGCATCTTTTAAATTTATGATGTAATTTGAGCTGTAGTTAATAGAGGTTATTATGATAATGTAGGTAACGTTTTCCAAAAAACTAGAATTTTCTTGATTTTTCAAATTTCAAGTAACAAATGCGTATTTATTGACAATTGTATTTTTTAACATAAATATAATTACTCTGTGTATTATTTAAAAGCATAGTAATTTTCCGGAAAATGAAAAGCAAATTGAGGTTGAATCAGATAACCAGTCCTCAATTGTAAAAAGTTTTCCCTAATTAACCAACATTACGATGTCGGTGATGATGAATAGACACATAAAAATAAAGTGATGATGCATTAAGGCGTTCCTAAGACTAAAACTGGAAAGATTGCATTACCGAATTTTTTCTCGTCCACCCACGTCAGAAAATTCGAATTCTCAATTTCTCAATAACAATTACCAAGCCTATTCTGAACTAATTACCACAAATATTTATTGTTTAAACATTGTAAGTAGAGAATAAACAGTTTTTTTTCGTAATTTTGTGCGTAAGTAGGCCATTATTGAATCAAAATCGTTCGAATGGGAGAATTGAAAATCTAACTGTATTTTCGTATTTTCAGCCACACGACGACGACATTTTGATAGACGATTCTGGCGATTTTTCGCCGAACGATTCAAAACATGACACCTCAAGGACAGGCTCGATGAAATCGTTAAACGTTACAACATCAGGGACGCAATCGTTCCTAACGCCGGCCCTGGAAAAAGAATGGCCCGACGTAATTAAAATGAATGATTATTTAAACACCGGACGACGGCAGCAATTCTGGGAGGAACCCTTCACGAAACGCGTAATGGACGCCATCAAAACTAAAAATCTCGAGATGAAAGTCGCAGCAGAGTTGTTGGGTGTCTCCTATGGGACACTCTACGGAAGATATCGAGATTCCTACGGGTGTTTGAAACATCCCTATCGGTAAATATTTCGCTTTTTAGTTGGTTTAGTTATCGTTTCTCTCCTTATTTTTGATGTTATTTGTGCGGTTGTCCACGCAATTGATGCCGTTCTCGGAAATGTTGCTAGCACTGTTGAGAGGTTTTTTTTTCATTACACGCAGTGGAACTTTTTAATTTATTTGTTGTGGGGTGGAAGGTCAAGCACTTGATTTTTGACGCACTGACTCAATTTTATCGAGGGGATGTCAGTCGTTGGGAATTTGTGCTGCTGTGTGTTGCCTTCCGTTCCATTTAAATTTATTTCGAAGTTATTGTTGATGCAGACAGACAGCACAGATCAGCACAAAATAACAGATTAAATTGTATATAATTTCATCTTGGTGGTGGGTTAAATGTCCTCCAATAGTTTTCTTGTTCAATAATCTTACCCTAATATTTATAATATACATGTTACATGTTGTCTAAATAATCATAGATAATTAACGCAAATGAATCATTGTGTTCCAGGACTTCTAGAATTGTACTAATACGGTTAATAAAAATTTTCTGCATAAAATACCTTTTCTACATACAGGGTGTTTCACACAACTTTACGAGACTTGCGCACCCAAATATACAAAAGTCACAAATCAAGTTCGTATTGGAATATGTATTATTGATTGCATCTTACAGGCGCAGGCCTTGTAAAATTATGTGAAATACCCTGTATATAAGTAAGCATAGGACAAGTTAAATAAAGGGCAATTAAAATGGCAATTTCTAATTGAAAAATTGAAAAAAAAGTTCTTGGTTAATTAATGAAAGTACTCTTGAAAAAGATGGATCCTTACTTCATACATATAGGGATGTTTCACATAACTTTTCGAGGCTTGCGCCCAAATATACAAAAGTCACAAAACACTAGATTCAAAAAATACAAATTTAATTATTTAATTTTTGGAAACCCATGACAATAGTAGTCAAAATAAACAGTGTTTCATTAATAGTCATAAACTGCAGTTTTTCAGAAACAATTATCATTTTTGTTCTATCCATATGATTCTAGTTTATCTATCTTAATCACTAACTAACTAAACACGTTGTAATTTTTGGAAGGGTGAACAAACTAGGGAAGATTATTTTAATTTTTCTAAATTTGTAATCAAGTTCGTCTCGCAATAAGTAGTATTGATTGCATCTTACAGGCGCAGGCCTCGTAAAATGATGTAAATTACATTGTAAAACATCCTGTATTAAATACCGAAAAACTTTTCTGATACTTTGACACATATTTCAAGTCACTGGCATGATTTGAAGTAAATTAAACTGACATACGTTGTCAATAGCAATACTAAATGTGGATTACAGAGATCTAAAAAATTGCACAACAAACCTAAGAAGTTTACATTTGCTTATTGTTAGTTATTGACAACGTATTGTTGACCTGTTTTATGATGATGCATTTACTTTATTGTAGTTTTTGTACAATTTATATCAATGACAAAGATGATTTAAGTAAAAAAAAATTAGCACAAACTCAAACTTTAATTCTTGTTATTATTGTAAAGCCATAATTTTATACAGGGTGTTTACGGTCTTGAGGTTGAAATTTAAATGAGATGATATTCACGCTAAAGGAAAACTAATGCGCTATATAAAACAAAAATTCACGTTAAAGGAAATTATTCATTTTACACTATTTGTTTGAGAACTGCTGCTTCGGCTGCAACAAGGGCCATTAGTATCATTACCTTGTGTTTTACCGTAAATCATAATCACGTCAACCAATTTATAATTTTAATATTTTGCCATACATGTTCATAAATTTTGAAAAAAATTAAGAAAAATGAATCAAACGTATTGGAAACCGTTCGCTGAAAGATATTAAACAGAAGATCTTCGAATTTTGATAAAAACTAAAGCAAAAGCAAATCAAATGATGACAGTGTCAAAACTATGAAATGACTTTTCTCTTTCATTATCATGGATACGATTTTTTAATCTGTTGCAACAATACAATTTTATCTGAACAAGGAAATAATTCCAGTGACCCTCAAACCGTGTACCAATATGTTGGAGTTAAATAACATTCTTGATAATAACAATTGTGTGAGTTTTTTTTCTCTCGGTTACAGTATTTCTGTACTCTTCTATTACTAGGTCAAATTTCAACTCCAAGACTGTAAACACCCTGTATAATGACCGTCAAACCCATATTTTTTGTTGTTGTTTGGAGTTTTTGGCGAAATTGACTAAGTTCTTTAGTTATTTGTTTTTAACTAATTTTTTTTCATTCATTTACTTTAATTATCTCTGCTTCTCAGAATAAACAAAGAGTATGGAAGTTATCTTTATTAATAATAAATCCGTCAGCACATAGTTTAATGTTTAGCTCCCGTTGTTTTGAGAAAGAAACAAAATAAAATGATGAAAACACACATTTCTTGATACATATTTGCCACCAAATACATAGGTTTTTCTTCTGTTCCTGTTTTCTGTGGATTAGTAAGTTAATTTTTTGTTAACTTCTATATGTTTGTATTTATGTGGTGACAATTTACACAAAAAAATTGTTCTTCGTTTGTAGGCGAATAGTATTTTTGTTAAGTAGAAATACATATCTAGAACCTCGAATTTGGGGTGTTTATGTTAATTAGAACAAATAATATGTAGTTTTTAGTTGGAGAGACAACTTTAGTTGGGTCTTTATTTCTAACAAGTCAAGGGGGCTATTATCATTTCATTTCTTAACCTCTGCTTCACTTTTTCTTCTTAAAAAGGAGATGAAATTTCTTTGTATTGAGAATTGATATAACTGAGAAAATTCATCTTTTTTTTGGTTTCACCACCTCTCACTTATATCATTCAGTCACGGGCCATCATCGAGCTTACTGACCTAAAAATAATGAAAATGTCAAAATCCGAGTGGTCGAATTTGTTCTTTTTGTGTTTAGAACGAGCAATGCGTCCGAAGGGAGTAGTAGCGTACCCGAGAGCGGCAATGAGTGCCCGGACACGGTAACAGATTGAAGATGTTTTGACTGGCTTTTGCAGAGTGCGCGATTTCTGGAGTGAACAAGGGCCGACGGATGTGTTGTTGAAGTTGAAGAAAAAGGAGATAACATTGTACAGAGCAGCAGAACAGTTAAATGTGACGCCGCAAACGCTTTCGAATTATCTGATTTCAATGTCGCAAATCGACAACAGCAGCGAAGCGAACGTTAGCAACCAGTCGAATGCGATGGAGTCGTACGAAGAGGTTGATTCGGACGAAGAGGGCGACACGGTGCTGCCCGATGTGCCCTCGTCGAACAATACAAGCCTCTTCAAAAATCTCCTCTCAAACGCAATCAACACATCCACGTCCAGCAACTCAGTATTGGCCAACTGTCCAGATATTACCATTATCAAAAAAGAAAAGCACGAAGGTAAAGTCAATAACAATTCTGATCATTCCGACAGTAATAGTGACCAAACAAAGTAATCGACGACGCTATATGTATGTAAACATTTCCACTATTAGTATTTTATACAGACCAAAGTAATTTTGTACTGTTTTTTCTCTTAGTTGATTTAGTTTTAATGTAAATGAATCTTGTGTTTGCTGAAAACGTAGTAGTGATATGGGAAATACCAAAATGTCTGTTACAAAGTAAAGTGTATATTTACATTTACCGCAATATACCTATATTGTATTGGCAAGGTAGTTTAGTCTTAGGAACATATCACGGAGTCCGCTGGTGGACAGTCTTCTGCACTGACTCTACGTTGCAGTCCTATTTATAGTGCTTTAATCTGTAGGTTTATCAGCAATGTATCTGCTCCACTCTCAGTATTTGTATTTTGTGTGCATTATTGTTTTTGGTACACTTACGTGTAGGTATACCCATTAGAATTAGTACGAGGACATACAATACTTTGGCATATTATTATTTATGTACCTATGTATTAACTGTATGTAGTCTTGCATCATAGATTAGAGTTTGTCATATATTTATATAAAACATGGAGAGTAAAAGGTTCATGTTTTCCTATTAAGACATACCTATACTATTATAGTAATAATAACTATAATAACATATATAATGAACTATATTTATACAATTATTTGTTGAGTGCCTAATCATAAGTTAACATAGGACTTAACTTTAAGTTTACTTTTTATGTATTTCGATTTTTATTCATTTTTCATGATCTGTTTTTTCATTGCATATCCTCTTGGTTTTAGGATCGGAAATTATTTTCTAACATTATGTTACTTGGTACAATATATTATATTTTACCTTTTTTGGGACGGTGAGAATTTTTCCGCGTACCTCGTAATATTTATATGTTCTTATGTATTGTACATTTTATGTAGTTTTTTATTTATTAAAGATTTTTTATAGAATCGCTCATTTTATTATTTATTGCCTACAAACCAAAGAATCCCATTTGTCTGAAAATTCAGGTGTTTAAGTTGGCTCAACCACTTTCGGAATATCAGTGATGCTTTAAAAATATTTTATAAATTCTTGTAGTAATAGAATACGGAACAAAAAACGCGTTTGGCATTTTTTCAACATTTGTTATGTAGCAATTCAGGTTAGATGGTCTGTTAAAAATTTCTTAATAATAATACTTATTAATCCCCAAATAAAATACAGTGTAAACAAATGTGTTTGCGGATGAAGAGCATAAATTCTACGCACTAAAATAATTCTTTGTAAAGTCAATTTGAAGACCAAATTTCGTATACAATTTTTTTTTGTATTTCTCCCCCATAATTTTCACCAACCGTTGAGTATGTCTGTCCTAGTTAGGTAGAAGTAAAATATCAATGAAAAAAATTGCATTGAATGTTAACCGTGAAAATTTTTAAAAAAGGGATAACTTTGCACAAAATAATTATTAGGTGTTTTGTAAACGCGCTTTCAGCGGAATTGTGCACGTCGATTTAAAATCAAATTGTCAATATTTTTAAAGTGAAACTTTTTTTCCATCGCCCCAAATTTTTTCGTTCATCTATCCCATGTCGCATTACAGCCGGCCGCGCAGTAGGGGTTGAGTGAAAGGCGCTCCAGCTGACCGTGTAGCATTTATATTCTTACTCATTCGTCCAAGTGCTCCGCGGTATTTGTGTTTTGATCAGTGTATTGATGTACTTATTGTGTATTGATCCGAAAAAAAGTTTCACTTGCATCGTGGTTTCATAAAACCACACAATTAATTTGTCTTTCCACTATTTACGTTCCATAGTTTTTTTCTATGAATGAATATAAATATCGTATTAAGACATAGGCGGAGACGGGTTTTCAACCTCAACTTATTTTTAATTTTAACTCAGAAATGACGTGTTTTCGGCAAGAGTTGGAAACAGAAAAGTTGTTTCTCTTGACTAGTTCTATTAGTGGTTAGAATATTTTCTCGAAATCTGCAATAAAAAACCGTTATTTTCCAAGTATTTTTGAAGGTCTGTGCTTTGCATAATTATGATTCACTACTTGACTAGTTTACAAAAACAGCAGTTGATTTGAGTTTCTTTATTGATCATAATGAGAAATATGAATATTTTCTGCCTCCAACTTCTGTTTAACCCAATTAATCAAACTCGCAACATTGGTGTACAAACTTGGCACATCTTTCTGTCCACAGACAGGTAATCCCCATGAAACAATCCCCACTTGCACAAAGTGATTATTAACTTTACACATCAAAGGACCACCTCCATCTCCCTGACACGTATCTTTGCCCTCCTCACCTCCAGCACATATAAATGACGGATGTATATGAAAACTGTGACCTAAAGTTGTATTTCTGAGAAGTTTTTCGCATTTGTTGGTTTCTACTATCGGTAGTTCGACTTTTTTCAGTTTTCTTATTCGTTCTACAAAGTCCAAAATTGTGACTTTTTACATTATGAAAAAAATCAAACCTACGACGATGCGTTCCACTCCAACCAACAGCAGTACATTTGTGACCATTAAAATTTTGATTAAAATTTGGTAAACAAACGGGGTTGCTGCTTGCAATGGCAGATTCTAAAATAAGTAAAGCAATGTCATTGTAAAGGGCCCCGGAGTAGTAACCCTCATGTTTAATTATTTTCGTTACGTTGCTATAAAGAGATGTTGCAGTCTTTTTATTTAAAATTTCTTCCTTTGTCACTACTTGTAATAAATTAGGTGAAGAACTAAAACAACTTTGATTAATTAAAAAAAAAACAAATATAACGCGACTTACACACTTAACACGTTATGTTGTGTGGTTAAAACTACTCTGGGGTGAATTAGGGCACCCCCACATTTAAAAGAAAAATTATTAACGTACTGTTTTTTTTCTATTATTGCTACGATCCATGGAAATTGGTCACTTATTCGCAAACTTGATAAATCAGTTCTTCCACATTGTGATGGACTATTCGTTGCGGTTGATAATTCTTCCGGTTTATTAACACCAGATTTAGTTTTAGTTTTACAACAGTAGTAAAACTCATTAGAGCATCTCAGCCGACGAATACGTCTCAGGGGATAGTTGGGACTAAACACAATTAATTCATTTGAAAATTTATAATTATAAATTCATATTCACATTAACAATCAACTTACATAGTCTGTGTTACTTGTAACTGATCCGGTGGTATAATAAAATTTTCTTCATCACATAAATAAAAAATAACACATTTACACTTGTTGAAAACTTGAGTGATTGTGTCATCGAGATTGCCTTCTTCTAATTTTGCGGAAGGCAAATTGTTGGGAACTTGTCTAAATTGTGATGTGGCAGAGTTAAATAAAAGTGAAAAAAATACTAATATCAGTACCATTTTAATTTATATAAAGCACAAAATAAGAACTTGAAACATATAAACGGAAAACTGTAACAAAATGCTCTGTTATGCGAACTGAAATATATCTGGAGGTTAAAGAGCAGTTCTTTGTTATCGTGGGGAAAACCGATGTAAAGAAGTAATTACTAGCGAGTGTTTTAAAAAACAATTCCAAGCTATTTATTAATATTTGTAACCAAAATTACAATGATGCTTTAGCAGTGACATCAAAACATTATTTTATCTAATTTAGGACATTTTAAAGTGCATTAGAAATTAAAAAAAATGTATAGTAATAACAATCGTGAATAAAATATTATTAATTAATGTTTATAACAATTTTTGGTAATTTATTGCTAAAATTTTGTAAGAAAACAAAAGACATTATCACTTTAATGAAACACCGAGTGTATTAGTTTTTCACCATATGTTCGTTCGAGCGTTTCCCAGAATTCGGCGAACAATCAAAAGAAACTATCCTTTTGTAGAATCATCAAAAAAAGCCGAAACTTTTAATTTGCGCCATCGGTTACTACCCCTCTACATTGTATCAGTTATTTTATTTTAGTCGGTCTTCCACATCCTTTGAGATCACAACTCTCGAACTGCTCAACTCCTTTTTAAACTCTCATCACTTGCTCCAAGTAAGTAATTCGTAATTACTAATGACCTCAAGCTATTAAGATTATTTACAGTGTCTTACAATTATTATAATAAACCACAAAAATGTTCCTGTTCCAATCAGAACCAACCATATTTTCCAACTCCAACAGTTCAAAATCAACAGTTTTCCAATGTTTTGAGAAGTATTGAAAATGTTCAACCAGCAACATGTTCCAATTTCTATCAAAACCAAGCAAATCTTCAAAGTCCTCAGTTTTCGTTTGTTTTAAGCGGCATTGAAAATGTTCAACGGCGGAAAATCTGTACTTTGTGTCGGAAAAACGGTGAGCCAGTGGAAGTTTTTGAATCGCATACTGTGAAATCTGAAGATGGGAGGGTCACTTGTCCGATTTTACGGAGACATATTTGCGATTTATGTGGGGCTACGGGCGATTATGCTCATACTCGACGTCATTGTCCTAATTTTGTGCAAAATGAAGAAGTGGTTCCGACGAAACCAAAATATAGGATCTTGTCGAACGGAAAACCGACTAGGGTTATTAACCACAAGTAAAAAGTTTTTGTTTGTTTATTGTGCATGCTTAATTTCTTATGTTCATTAGTTAGCTACTTCACAGATAACATTACGAGCAGTTTATTTCTTTGCAATTTGTGAATTTTCATTTTTTTAATAAATTTTTTACAGACACTGGATACTTACTTATTTGTAAATAGTCTTCATATACCTAAACTACACATTATCTAGGTAGACACCACCTAGAAGTAAGGAGATTAACAAATCATCAAAATCAAAATCTACTGATTTTACGTAAATTCGAGAAGTGACTTGAGTGTTTTCTTATAATCTGAAAAGCTTTTTGGAATGTCAAAAAATTTTTACTCTTTCCATTCATTATAATTTCCAGTTTATCTTTTGATACTTATGATAAACTCTGTAGGTAGATAAAGGTATCTTTCAAAATAGATTTTAAAGTTAAAAAACACCGACTCTTCCCACTAACATACAAAATACAACTTGAATATGGCCTAATTTACTTTATAGCGTTTTGTTCAATGTTCTCTTGGATAAATTTGAAAAAATTGTCGGAAATTTTGAAAAACGACAAACGTCGATCCCAAATTATTCCTATTTTAGTCCAAGTCACAAGAATATTATTTTTTTAATTATTTACTAGAAATAATTTTTTGGAAATCATGTTTTAATAAAATGTTTTGGGCCAAGCGAATGAAAAAAATTATCACATTTTAAAATACACTTGACAAAAAAGTGTAATGGACAGTGGATGTTTTATTGAAATAAAACAAAATTTGTAATTTTTATTTATAATGGCGGTCGCTTAACATTGTGAACTAACACTTATATTATTATAAAAGTAAATGGTACCTATTTACATTAGTTATAAAAACTTAAATAATTGACTAACTCGAGAAAATAGGGAATTATCATGTTATATACAATGTAATTTGGTATATTTATTTAATAAAATCACAGATACTAATTTTTATCTGGCCTTTATATGTACAACAACATAAACCTAACAAATAAAATTCTTCCTTCTTACTTAAAAAAATCATCAGTAATACTTTTTTCCAATTAATTACAATTTAACTGCAACTTTGTCATTTAGAAATAGTTCGACCTGCTTTAGATTGCCCCAACAGCATCCAAGTCATTATAAAACAAAACAAATCCTTAAAAGACAAAATAAAACAAATCAACATCCATTCAACATCTACCCAGAATAAAAAAAGTCCAACATTAAAATGTACATTTACGTGTGTAGCATTATACACATCTTCATTAACATTTAATTTACAGCATATTCGAATCACACCTTTTTACATGTATATATAATATATATTTTACTATTGTCATTCTTTATATCAAAAAATTTATCACGTCAAAGTGCCCATCAAAGACCAGAAACAACAAACCAAAACTGATATGTTTACGGCTTTTTCAAACTGTTATTATTAAGAATGGAAGGATTCCCATCTGAACCAATAGGAAACGGAAAATTTAAGCGCGAATTGTGCGCCATCAAATCCGTGTAAAACTTCAATTGTTCCGTCGACGGAAACGGTGACACCGGATGAGTTGCACTCAACGGACTATGCGAATATAAACTCTGCATGGCTGCTGTATAATAAATCGGGTCCAAAAGCATATAGGGAGGAACATTCTTATTACTCTCATACAAATGAGATAAATAAGGAAACGCAGGACTCGGAGGAGGTATATGTTTCGAGTTTGACACCGGCGGCATTTGAGGGGGTATCTTAGCCTCGCTTATGATTGGTTGATGGTTCCTCGGGCCATATGGATGAGGAACGCTCAGTTCCATCGACTTGTTTTCACGAGTCGATAAAACAGGAACCGGCGTGATTGGCTGAGGGAGTTTACCATATTTACCGTTTTCCTCGATTCGGGGAATTTTGTGGTTGCTGTAATGATCAGATGATATCCTTTTCTGGGGATATCTACTCATACTGTGGTAATTTGTGAGAGATGGCGGGGGTAGGTATTTCGAGGACTGGTTATGAACACTTGGTTGTTTGTTTGACCCAACTAACGTTATTTCTAGATTCGAACCTAAACGGCGACCGTCGAGCATTGGTGGCGTTGGGGTTGGTTTGTACGGAACTTTCGAAGGGGATGTGAAAGATGGGGGTTGTGGTGTGGGGGTTGGTATTTTCATAATTTCGACTATAGGTTTTTGGGGACTTGTCACTGTTAAATCGAGGATGTCTCCGCCGTTTCGTGTACCGATGAATTTAGGAGTATGGACAGGGTGGGTTGTCGGCATTAAATCTTTGGGGTTGCCGTAGACCGTTTTTTCCGAATATGAATAAATCGATTTCGATTGTAGGACTTTCGGGGGGACGTTCCCGTTAACATATGGGAATGGTTTCGGGGGTGGCTTTTGATCGACTTTAACGTGACTTATACTAAGGGCTTGTGGGACTGCAATTTGTGGCCGTTTTGGTGGCGGAGGTGGCATGTCATTTTTGATTGGTTTGTGTACTATTTGAGCTCCGGTTGTTTGTATAACCGACGGTCGGATCTCTTTAGTTGAAGTGGGCGGAGCGAAACTTCGAACAGGTGTCACTTCAAGACCTCCTTCTTTCAAAATATCTAATTTACGTTTCTTGACTTCGTGGAGGAATGGTTGGTGGAGGGTGGTTTTGGTGTAAGAGTCGGCTTCAAGATCGATGACTTCTGGAGTTTTAGGTTTGTATGGCACCTCGATGACTTCTGGACTTTTGCTCGGAGTATCCCCCGTTTTGATAGGGATGTTTTCTTTACCTTCGACTGGCGAATGAGATTTTTCCGGATTTAGTTTTTGTGCAATTGGCGCCACTGCTGAAGTTAACGGTTCAACGTCTTTTTCTGGCACTGTTTCTTCAGCTTTGACAGCCACAACCTCACTTTTCACCTCGGATTCGTCTTCGGTTTTAATTTCGTTATTATTGTTTTGTATGTTCAATTTGTCACTAATTTGTTTGTCTTTCTGTCTTTCCGGTTTAACACGCACACTCCTTAAGGACGACGTCTTCCCTTGTATATTAAATTCCTGCAATTTTGAGATAATAATCAACGATCCTTGACAATCTGTCTGTACCTTGTTTTCAGTTGGAGTGGTTGGCGTAACCGGTGTTGATCCTTGCGGAACTGGAGTGCTGTTACCACTCCTCGATGTGCTTTCGCTTGTTTCGGCATCGCTGGTGCTGCTTCCAGTTTTACTTTTCAGTCTTCGTCTTTCTGAAATTGGCAATGGCTTGTACTCTTCACCTTTCACATGGCGCTCATACGGCAACAGAAACCTAAACAAATAAATCAATCGAATCACTGCACCAAAGTTTTGCTTTGTTCTAGCTTTTAAATAATAGATAACAGACTTAAAACTAGTCACGCGACAGTACAATTTCTCACAACGAACCTTTCGTAGTGTCTTCTTATGACCGTAGCAGCACTTGTGCTATTAGCGTGACCACTCATGTCATCAAAAATAGACTTCCAAAGTCGATTTGCGGTGACCGAATCGTAGCCTCCTAACTTCTGTACCTTGGTATAGAAAGAATACAAATCGACTAAAAAAACAAGTCATTTCAATTAAAATAATCTGTTCAAAAGCATCCACTCACGTTCTTTGTACCCTAACGAAGGAATTTTTCCTATAGGCGTGTAGTTTGTTTTCATAAAAATAGTCAATTCTTTAATAAATTCTTTGCTTTCGCTACTTTCTATAGCTCTTGTGCTGCGTCTGAGGTGAGTGTTGTCACAGCGTAGTCCGTTTTTGCCACCTTCAGTAGCACCATTATCCTGAAAAAACTTGTAAACTTTGTTTGCAATAAAACTCAAAAAGTTACCTTTGATGAATTGAACACATTTGATACTGAAGACTCTGATTCGTTGCTCTCTGATCCCGGCGAAACACTTCGTTTTTTCCGTTTGCCTCTGGGCCTTCCCTTGAGTTTGGGGGCGAGATGGTTGCAAAGTAATTCGTGACCTTCTAATTCGGGATAATCGAAAGTGTCCTTACAAAACAGGACTCTAGTGTTTTTAGTGTAAGCTGTGAAGCCTCCCAAAGCGTTTACGATTTTGTATTTGAGGTATTCGTTCTCGACACCTTCTAATCTTCTCATCATTGCGCGGTATCTGCAATAGCGAGGGTAACTCAGGATCACCACCGGAGGTCCGGAGTGCTCAGAATTGCAGTCTGAAAAAAAATCAATTTCAGATAACAAAATTTAGAGAAATGAAAAATGTCCAACTTTGTAATTGGTACAAATGACGCGATAAAGTTCGACAAACTGCAATGGAAAAGCGAGGTTCAATTCGGAATAACTTTTGTTCTTTCCCTTAATGGATTTATCGGATAACAAAGAGACTTTCGTTGAAAATCCACTCGGCCTACGATGTTTGTCTAATTAATAGAAAAAGGAAAACATTCAAAAACAATGAAAACATTCATTTAAGTTTTACTCGGTATCGATTTTCCGCAGCAAAAAGGTGTTTCTTATTGCAGACAACGTTGCGACTATTGTTACATTATTGATAACAGTAACGTTGACACCATTTTTTCAACTAGTGTCGAGTATTAAATATATTTCTTGAAACTAACTATTACACAAGTACAAGAAAACAATATATGATTCAAATTGCCGTGGAAGACGAGATCAAATCCCTGAAAATCAACCAAATGTAGATTTTTCCGTGCATTTATTTGGATTGCCTTACAGCAATCTCAGTTTGTGCCTTTTTTTTTTTAATCAGAAATTTGTTTTAAGCCAATTAAAAAAAAAAAAACTTTAATAAAAAGTGAAGTGTAACCTACTCTTTTTTAAGCATTGAGCTTTTTATGAATTCACAGATTTTTGGGTTAGGAAATTATCTCTTTCGATCGCTTTGCCTCCTGTCCTCCCAGATGTTGAATAAACCTTCGTCTTATTATTTACACTTCTACCGGAAAGAAATACCATGAAATAAACATAAACCGCATAGCGTAAAATGTGTCGAGTTAAAGAGTAAACCTCCCATTAATTCCAAGTTGATAACAAATGTAGTAAATTCCGGAATACGCCCTCGAAACAGATCAAAATGTTTAAAATTAAGTTTCGCAAGTGTTTGAAAGCACGTATTAACCGAGACTTTTCTATAGCAATATCTTTTATAGGAAGAATCTGTCACAGTGTTAAGATTAATTACAGCACATTTCGAGAGTGCACATTGGATTTTCTGGAGACTGCAGCTTGTGTATAATCCGCATATGCGCAAACACAAAATAATCGATGGAAATTCGTAAGGCCTTGATTGAATTATGAAATTAGTTTTTATCAAATTTATTAGGCCAGGGATGTTGCATCACAATACCACCAGTCTCTATTTGCATAAACAATTGGAAATCTATATAAACAATCGATTAAAAACAATAAAAACTCTCTTTTACTCGACAAGTACCCCTATAATACTCGACATACCTGTTTATATAAATTATAGACTGACATACTTGCGCTTCAGTTGCATTTTTTCTAGTGAATTACACAAATCAACAGTTATATTTGATTTCAGGTGAGACGCGGCGCCGCGCTGACTTTACAGGTCACAGGTTCATTATCATATTTTTAAAACTACCGACATTAATTATTTATTGAAATTATTTTTCCATATTCGTGTATTAAAGATAAAAATTAAATGACTATCCTCATACATTAAAATAATCACTTCAATTACCTGATTACCATTCCAGTTACGTTTTTATAGAATAATCGACAAATTCCTCCTAAATTGATAAACAACTACCTACCCAACTTGTCAAAAATCTATTGAAAAAAAAATTGTTGTCACAAAGGAGGCAGACTCATGTTTCGATACTTTATTAATTATGTAGCATTACAAGCTGCTATATTAATTAAATTAAAAGCCATAACGGTATTTGCAATTCATTTAATTAAGTCGTTTAAACAATATGTTAATACCCGAGGAAGCTTAAATATTTTACTATAGTAACATTTTCGTTGCATCAAATTGCAATTAATGATGAATGGGAATTAATGCGGGTCACAACACACATGGATGGTCATTGCACCATCGGTACAAATCTGTTTGAATTGTAGTTGGTATAGCTAAACATTGCAGACTGCTGACTACAGTGTAACAAGCAACAGAAACGACAAAATTTAAATTTGACTCATATTTAAATTGAAAAGTGAATCAGCAATATAAAAAATTAACAACTGGATTCAATTAATTGCCTTATTATAATTTTGCCTCCATTTATTATTCCACCTTCAAAACTTCAATGCTGGCGAAAAATAATTATTTTTAAAATTGTTTGATCCATTTAATTGGATAAGTTGTGAATAACAAAAACAAAATCATAAAAACCCCCGCTGAAAAGCGTTAAATTGATTCACTTTTATTGTTGAAACTTTGTAAACTCACATTTGGAAAGTTATTTAGTGAATATAATTTCAGTTTCAGGAAGATGTCTCCATCCATTAAATTTATGTTTCTAATTATGGCGATGTGTGTACTCAGCGATGCGTCAATATTGAAAACAGCATCCAATCAGGGCGACTGTTTATGTGAAAACTGCATCTGCAAAAGCCGATTCAGTTGCAGAGAAGACCAAATGCAAAAGTAAGAATGCTTCATCGATTTTCAGAAAAAGAGTTGTAAAAAGAAATTGTAACGAACGAGTAAATTCCAGCTAACGCAGATTATTTTTCACGAAATAAAAGTCCATTAAAGAGGTGAAATCTGTTTTATGTGAAACTGAAGAGTTTTATGTGTTTGTGGATATTAAATCCTTCGCGTTTGTGAGTAATTCTATTAAACTGCCAGCACAAGAATGTTATAAAGTAAAGCTTTTATTTTTTCATGTTTAATTTTTGAAATTAAAAGTTGCAAGTTAATGGATAAAGTTTGCGTTTGATATGGGATAGTTAAGAAAAATAAACCATGAGATCAAAGAGTAAAACTCAAGCCAATTACTTTGCATATTTTCAATTAATCAATTTGACTTTAATTTAGTTTGCTAAAAATCACTCGTAAAATGACATCAGTAGTGGCAAAATGAAAATTTGAAAAATATAGCAATCCTCTTAATGTAACAAATGTGTCTTTCCTCCCGAAACAGATAGTCGTTTGTATTCCCCCAACGTCAGATTTTTGTAAAAAAACAAAACATTTTCTCGAGAATGGTCAATATCTAAACTAAGCTTGCACGGCAGATCGGAAATTTTATTCGGCAAACTGTCAACCACACTTGGCAATACCTGAAATCAATGAAATCACCCCCTCATACAATGAAATCCGATTACATAAATAAAAATACATTTCCATCATAATCATAAATTTTATTAAACACATTTTTCGAGATTTTTTCGATTTTCTGCGGTAAAACATAAAATACATAAATCAATCTGTTTTTGAATGCAAATAAAAAAAATATCATCATTAAAATATATATGTTTTATCAACAAATTTCATTAAAATATAATTAATGAAGCGCTAAATTGAATTTATTATCATGTAATGTTCGTTTTAATGTCATAATAATACAATTTGCTTGAATTATTGGCAGTTGGAGGGTGAATCTATCCCTCTATAAAAACATAAAACATCTTATATCGATCCAATAAATTTGAACGGTAAGAAAACTTCTCCCATGCATCACCTCTATTGGAGAAATTTATTGTTTTAAAGCGTTCATAAATTCGTGCAAGTGACTAATCAATAATTATTAATAACAGGCAAGAATTTTTTATAACAAAAACCCAAACTCCGATTTGATTACTAATCAAGTTGCAAAACAATCTTACGCCGTAATTAGCCGGCTACATGTTAAATGTTAACAGTAATTAAGCCATTTATATCCGGAATGCACCAGAATGTCATAAACAGGGCGGTCCAAACAATATTAATAATACCAGAGAGCAGGTTGGCAATTCAACGAAACAAATAGAAGCTAAAATTTTGTTTCACCCTTTCTATTGTAAACAAATTCATTTTTTCCGAATTTAATTTAATTTTTTTCAGTTTGTATTGTCCAGGATCGTTAATTTACGTGTGCTGCAAGGTCTCGGACGACTCTAATGACATCACGCCTTAAAAACCGACGCCAATGTGGGAGAATAGTTCAAGTGAAATAAAGTTTGTTGTAAGCACTCACCTGAAGCTTTTCTTTCCTTTTCCACATCTGAAAAGTCCAAGGAGCTTTCAGTAAGCGATCCGATGTTGTTTTTGTTATCCTCGCTTTTTGGCGGATCTTTTACGTCTTTTTCGCACTTGGCTAATCTACCCCACGTCCATTCTGCATCTACTGTGATCCAAGTTATTAAATCTTCCACTCGCAGGACGACTTTTTCTGAAATGGCCAGCACTTCGTCCTGAAATAAATCATTGATTTTGAATCCAAAAACTGAAGATTGTAATCTGTTGTGATGTCAGAACCTACATTATCCTACTTAAGTTGCTAACTAATAGATAATTTCATTAATTACGCACGCGACATACCCCTCTGAAATAGAGACACCCTTCAAAGGTGGATTTATTAAGCATTACATTAATTCAGAGACATGTGTTTGCCACTCGCATACTGTTATTGCGCAAATGATTTTCATTTGAGATGTTTGATGTTTGATGCAGAGAAAATTGAAAATATTTTCTATATATTACTTCAGATGATTTACATTTCTCAGTCAACATGCTGCGACAGACTTTGTAATTCGCCACTCATAAATTTTCATGTAACTTGTTTACTGAAAACTTTGCGTATTTATTCAGGACATTAGAATCTGTTAAAAAGTTTCAGACAAAAAAATTCAAGAAAAATAGATGTTGCATGCAACTCTGTATTAATTTCATCTAGATTCCTAAAACGATATTCGACAAAAGATGCAAGTACTTATTCAAAATTAAAACGTTGAAATTTTTATTAAAAATTCCATGCGAAACGCAATTACTGATCAATATTCATCTAAAAAAATCTATTTTCTAAGGAGTTCAATGTGGTTCAACAATTCAGTAAAAAGAAGCAATTTTTGTGCATCATTTAAGTTGAAAGAGAGTTGTCATCTTATTTCCAATAAGATTTCATCAAATACAAAAATAGATGTTATGAAAGTTTATCGAACGCCAAGTTTCCTTCCATCGGTGCATTTTGATTGATCCCAGTCTCGCTTAAAAAGCACCAACATTCCATTTTTATTGAAAAAAAGAAGTTTCAATAGCATTCCAAAAATAGTCGATGTGACTCCGTGTAATTTTTCACAATGGTAGTAAGTATGTATGGTGTAAACGATTTCATTCCAAATTTACTTTAGTCCTTTAGGAATGCTTAAAGAATCTTCTCGAGAGAATTTAATTGTAAAGATTTAACGGCCGCTTAGACTGTAACAAGTCGCTAGACATTTACAAAATGTCGAGTCACAGTCTAAACAGAAAACTGAGATTGTGTATGATCGTAAAACGAAATAGACGTTCTTCACGAATCTGAATTACGTGACAATGGTACAAAGGCGAATCAAAAGTCGAACTTTTCGTTTAATAGAGTTTTTTTCTCTTCTGATTAAATACATAAAAAATTGTTTACTTGGGAGTTTACGAATTTCTAGTAGAATACTCTACAGCTTCTTTCTCCCTGCTGAATTATTTTTATCATCCGAGTAAATTAAAAAACGTTGAACGTAAATATTTAGACAGTCATAAATAAAGTAAAATAATCATATTTTTCTCAGTGAATTTATTTATAAACTCATCTCGCCGCTTTTAAAAATTCGGTTTACAATTACAAAACGTTAATTAAACATACAAATTTTGTCCATTTATTTAAAAGATAAAATGCTTTGTTCTTTGCGTTCAACAATGACTTTTCACGAACAAAGAGTTAAAAATGGACGGAAAATTCGACGTTTTGTTTTAAATCGTAATTCTCGAGGAAGTCGCAAGATTTATATTTCCTCAGATGCTCACATATTTTGTTATGAAATTTTCCGGGAAATCGTCTTATTAAACGCATAAATCGATTTCGTTCTTTCCACAAAACCGGGGTTAATCGTACGGTTATATCGCAGATGCCGGATTTCGGGATTTTCCAACCATTTTTCAGAATTTTATAATATTTTATACATACATCAAAAAGAACTGCAACATCACATTTCGCACAATATTTTTTGTTTAGGTAATAAACGAAATACATTCATTTGTTGCGATTATGTGTGTATAAATTAGATTCAACACTTCATATTAACATGATTTGCATTATTTCATGAAATATGGGTAATTAATAATAAATTGAATTGAAACAATAACTGCATAAAAATCAATGAATTATTATTAATCGTCAAAAAAAAAAGAAATTATACAACCAATAATACACGCGCTTCAGTAAACAAATCTTTTAAATTCTAATTTAAACTAGAACAATGTAAAGCCATGGCTGCAAAGCCCGCTGCTTTTTAACCTTCATTAAAGAGAGAATTAAAGCGTAAATGAAATTTTTAATATTAAATTAATTTAGTTTTTTCATCAAAACATTGTTTGAGTTTCAAAGTAATCACCATTATCCGATACGGCTTCACAAAGTTAGTAGTTCTTATTTACATTTAGTGAGATAATTAATTAACCATAAAAATAATAGACGCATGCGCTAGGGTGTCGTTCCCATAGAAACAAGTACCGTCCCACCGCCTACTTTACGAAGTTATAATTTGTTATTTCAATTTCAGTGTATAGCTTCAGCCGTCTTTCTTCGACTCGTTTGACACATATATTTTCTCTCGCTCACCATTATAAATGATAATACCCTGTATCCATCGGTATAGAGCTTTTAGTTGCTTGCAAAGATTACTGTGCGAATTAAGCCGTGTGTTGGCCGCTGCAATTTGATAATGGACTTAACTTTCATTTTTCTCACAGTCGACGAATCAAAACATGGGAGATAATTTTAGAATAAACGATTATTTACAAATCCGATAAGTGGTAAACTCGAAAAATAGGGAAATCAAAACGGAAATAATTTCATTATTTTATCGCATAAATATTTGAAATTTCGTTGAGCATAGGTCGAATCTCCAATAGGAAATTAACATAATTTGAATGGTTGTAATCGCTCGAATACGATTATTATCATTAATCACAATGAGGACCTGCATAATTCTAAAATACATAGTAAACATCTTATATAATTTTAATCGGATAATGCACTCTAGAAGTTATTTATATAACTAAAGTAGATCACAGTGTGAATTTCAATAAAATTCAATTTGCATTTGGAGTATAAAAAAAATCATTTTCTTTGCCAAAATCAGGTAGATATTGTTCAAAAAAAATCTGGTGTAAACATCATACGACTTTCCTTATCCTACTTATTTGGAAAACATCCTTACGACAATAATTTAGTGTTGCAAACCTAACGTTTGCGTTAGTGCCACCTTCCGAATTACACGCGAAATAAGTCGCGGGTTCGAGTCTGAGGTGCATTTTTTTTTTTAATTCGGTACCAATTATGATTTTTATTTTATCACATTCT